ACAAATCAATTTTACGAAATTTAAATTATTCAGAAATTCTTCAATTAAATACGAATTAAAAAATAAACACTTCAAATAATTTCAGGATAAAATTCAATTAAACTTTTTTAATATAATTAATTCTACAGAATTGTTAGTTATAAGTATGAAAAATACAAATTTTTAAAGAATTTGATTTGAAACCATTTTAAAATTTAATTATTTCTTAAAATTCATGCTATAATGCTTTTAATAATCAATTATTATGTAAAACTTTAACTGAAATTCATTTTGAAATAAATTTTTATTAGATAATTCAATAATTTAAATGCAAAAATAAATAATTTATTTAATATTTAAAATTTCTTAAAATTGAAGTCTCATAAAGAATTTTATCAAAACATTTTTAAATCATTGATTTCTTTTAACAATTTTTTATAAAATTTTTAAGAACAATTACATTTTTCGATGAATTTGATTAAAATTGTATTAAAAATAATTTAAACTCTGCCATGAGTTTTATTTATGAATATAATTGAATTTCTAAAAGAAATTTTATTATTTATAAAAATAATTAAATTATTGCGAAGAAATTTATAAAAATATTGTAGGGGAGAGTCTCCAGTTGTGAGACACCTCCAGTTGTGAGACAGTCAATTTTTTTTAACATGCAATATTAAAAAGCCGATTGGTTTATATAAAAACATTTCTTTTTATATGAGCCAACTTTTTCGTGTACGCCGAAGCGGATATATAAACTGTTTTTGTTAAATACCAACACTGTGTGTGATAATCGACTAAAAAGCGTTTTTTCAATAAATGCAAAGTACTTTTTTTCCAAGTTAATTAATTGGAAAAGGTAAATGTAATGCATTTTCTTTTAGTGTTTTCCTTATATTTTGTGATGCAATATTGCATTGTTCCAATCTACGGTTGAAAATAATTTAATTTTCCTTTTTCAAAATAGCGCCAATTTCTGGGTGTGAGACGCAGCATATCACCAGTTGTGAGACGGTGTCAACACCCATCTGGGCAGCATAAAAAATACGACTTTGCAGGCATACTATTTAAATGTTGTTTTGATTTTTTTTCTAGTATTTTTGGGCATGTCAAGTGGAAAAAAGTCAATTGATTCAGAAGAAATCAATTTTAATGCTCTTGTTGAAGCTATTAAATTGTGTTTATTTGATAGTCATATTTTGGCAAATAAATATTATTATTTAGTATATAATAATATATATTATTAATATATTTAATTATTTCTACTAAACATAATGTTTTATGTCAAACTTATTAAATTTTAGCAATTTTTAATGAGTGTCTCACAACTGGAGACATTTTTTTTTTTGAAAAAAAGCGATGTGCTCGGAAAATGTATCGTAAAATTTTTTGAGTTCATCGAAACACTATACTTTCTTTTAATAAAAGTTGCGTATTTCTGTTACCTTTCGAACTGTGTATTTTATTTACAATTTCGTTTACCCGTTTACAATTTACGGGTCAAAAATGAAACCCGTCTCACAACTGGAGACTCTCCCCTAAATAATAGATTTCTTATTAAATTTTTTAAAAATAATTGACATTTTGACGAGAATATTAAAAAATTCTTGAACATAATTGAATTTCTGCGAAAAATTTTATTACTTTTGAAAATAATTGCATTTATGCAATTAGTTATAAATTTTCAAAAATTCAATTTATTATTGGGAGGCTTAAAAATGAATTTTGTGCAAAGTTAGCAAAGCATTCAAAATTTTTGCTCACAAATTTTTTTTAGTTTTTCTGTTATTTGTAACAGGAATTTGTCGTAAATTACTGAAGTAACATTTCAAAAAACTTTAACTAATTCATTTTTTCACCCCGAGTCAACAACCTGACTCGGGGTGATGGATAATTTCAACTCTATTATTTAATTAATTCATTTTTTGAAGGCACAAGTAAGGCACTTATATAATTTTATGCAAAGTTAGCAAAGCAGTGATAAATTTTGTAAATTTTAATTTTTAACGAAATTTATTTTTCTTACTAAACGAAAAAGTAGACATAATTTGATAATTTCTATTTTATAATCATAATTTTCGCACAAAATTTTGTTTTTTTTAAATATTTGAATTCATTTTTGTGATTACACATGTGTAATACCGTTTTTATTGTTTATGGCTGCGTCTACAATAAAAAAAAATAATGTGTAATTTGTAGTGTAATGTGTATTGTTTTTGGCATTGACAACTGTCAGGGGCAATTACACTATACATTACACAATTTTCTACACATTATTTTTTCTGTTGTAGACGCAGCCTATAGGCATTATTATTAATTATCTATTGATACTAAGAGAAACTATACACGCGCGCTTTAGCGCGCGTTTGTTTAGCTGTTACATATACAATAATTTAAAAAGATAACATTTTTGTAATTTTTCATAAATTTTTCGAAGAATTTTTTATTGAAATTTTGTAAAGATAATTTTATTTCTTTTGAGTAATAATAATAATAAATTAAATACTTCATTTGGCGGGCGTGACAGTTGCTACTTATTTATATTACTTAATAAAACAATTTTAAATACAAATTTCATAAAATTCAATTATTTCTTTAATTTTTAAATAAAAAATTATTCCAAAATAATTCATAAAAAAAAATTTTTTCTCGACAGTTTTTCAATAATTAAATTATTTTAAAAAAATCAATTTTAAATCTGTAAAGTCTAATTATTGTTAAAAACAGGAAAAGTTTGAAATAAATAAAATCTTTTCAACGCTGAAGAATAACATTCAGAATTTTCTTATGAATTCTTGAAATTGAATATTATTCCAGCACCTTTGACAAAATTCTCTGCCTTTTTTCTGATTTTCCTGAATAAATTTAGAAAAATAGTGATTTTGTGTAGAATTCTTCTGAATAATGGAATTTTTTAATGTTAATGACATGAAAATAATATTATTTAATTTTGACTAGAAAACTATTAGAAACAAAATAACAAATAAGTAATTAATTGTAATTAAATGTAATTTATATTCGATAATTAATAAGTCAAAAATACTGTAATAAACATATCTTCCATTATCGTCTCATTGGCAATCACGCTTTTCTATGAACGATAGTCAACCTTAAAATATAACATGTTTAACGGAATAAAAATTTAAGTCTTATTCTCATGTGACACGTAATGTAAAAATTACATTATTGTTATATATGTTAAAAGCGAAATAAGAAATTGTTCTTATTTCTTACATTCTTCTTACATTTGTTCAATTATATTTGTTATTAAAATATTATATTAATAAATCATTACTGTTTTTAAAAATGTTGTATAATTATTGTGTTTATATTTGAAAATTTATTAGTATAATTCATTGCTAAATTTACAAAAATTTGTTATTCTGTGTCAATTATTTAAAAAAAAATTTCTTTTACAAAACTTTATAAGCAAACAAAACTTGAATAAACAGTTTTTATAAAATTTTTAATTTTATTGAAATATATGATGAAATATAGTTAATTATTTAAAAACTGTAAATGCCAATTAAAAAAACTTTTTTTATTCAACGCTTCAAATACTGATCAGTTCTGATTTTATTGGACATTTGTGAGTAAGAATCGCTTTATCCCGATTAATTTATCGCAATTTGAAAATTACAAAATAGAGTATCTCCAACCACTACGTGGACCATCGGACCAACTATGGGCCATAACTTTTCCAACCGAAAATTTTAATTATTTTAAATTATTTTCTCCAAAGTTTCGACAATCGTCAGGCCAATTATGGCCTAGAGTTTAACCAACAAAAAATGTTAAGTTTAAACAACTTGTAACTGCCTGGTCAAACTTTGGCAACCAAAATTTTGCATGCCAAAGTTAGATTAACCTTCTTCCTCTAGCGGCCAACCTAACTTCGCATCTGACTGTGAGAAAACAGTAGAGATAATTTCCCCAATTAAATTTTTTAATTTCTTTTCCCACTTCTGCTTTATTATATAACAATGATCTAATCTTGAAAAAAGTATTTTAAAGAGAACTTTTAAAATTTCAGTTCATGATTCTGCGTATTGTTGAATTTGTTCAAAAAGTGCATATCTCCCTCCAATGCAATTCAAGAATTCGATCAGTTGCAAAAGTATTAAAACCCACCGATTCACCCTAGTGGCGCTCAAATCATTCACAAAACAATTTTAACAGGGGTGGGTCTTCCTGAAACAAAAAGATTATGCTTCAAAAAACGACCTTTATAAATTTTGAAATAATGGAAAATAATGACAACTCACAATAATTATGCATCAGAGAATTAAGAAACATATCTTTGACTATAGGTTGTATTATTCGCAGGAGTTATGTCAATCTTTGGTAAGCCTGCGCCAGAACCACTGACCGAATGTTTGTGAAGTTCAGTGTGGAACAAGGGTGGTAGTGGCGGTAGTGGTGGAAAATAGAGAACGAATGGTATACTATTCAAGAGTCGTGCGTTCACCCCGCGTCGCGACGACAGGGCGTCGTTCGTACACAAACTAAAAATCAAATAAGAAATCGGTCTTGATTTCTAAATACTCGAAATTCATCAAGACTCTCCAGTTCCTCATTGTAAAATTTACATTGTCATTTTCAGTGTACCAAAGAGAAACTGTTTTTTCTAACTTTCGAAATTTATACAAAACATGTCTTTTTAAATAACCTTTTCGCTTTTTTATTACTGACGTTTATCATAATTGTGGGGAAAAGTCTTAATTTTCGCAATACAATAACTTTAAGAAATATATTTTTTTTAAATTCCTGATAAATACTTAGCGACAGTAAAAAGTTTTTCACCCCAAAAAATGCTTGTCACATTAATTAACATTTAAACCCCAAAAAAAGTGAAATATTTATTTAATTAATACCGAAAGTGTTTTCAGCCTGTTACTTCGCCCAAGAAATATTGCATATCGAGATTTCTTTTCATTTATACATAAACAATCACGATTTTGTGTAAAATTGTTTTAAATTAATGTTGATTAGTAATAAAATAAATTGAAGTCATTTAGCGTAACGTGTCATTATCGGTGTGTTAATTAATAGTTGTCAATGAATTAACATATGTGCGGGTATGATTCGAATAATTGACAGAAGATTATTCAAGAAATATATGTATTCAGTTGGAGATCAAGAAATTACTGAAAAGCAAAACAGACATAACAAGTACGTTCATAATTAAAATACTCTTGTATAAACCTTATAGATATATTAGGGAGAAAAAAATATTTGCTGTAGATGAGGACTTTTAACTACTACAGCGAATTTGGTTAGTTGAAATAGAAAGATAACAAATTAGCTGTGATATGCAAAAATGTTTGTTATGGCAGTGAATTCAAATTCACATTTTTACTCATTTTGGTTGTCACAGCCAAATAGTTCGCTGTCTTTGCAAACATCTGTGATAGCTAATTTCGTGAAATTTGACAGCAAACACCATTTAAAGGTGACAGTATCTTATTTGTTTCGTGTAATTTATCTTACAAAAATATAAGTTCAGCTTATGTTTGAAATTAAAAAACATACTTAATTATCTTTCTTTTTTAAATTAAATTTTAATTGTTCTTTATCATCATTATTACTTGTAATAGCATCAAAACATACAATCTTTAAAATCTAGAACTGATAATTAAATATCAAATTATTCTTTCACGTTATCCCGTATATTAATTTTAGTTTATCTTTAGTTTTAATTTCATTTTTTCAAAAATGCATTCAACAATTGTTTTCATTTAGAATATTGCAGTTTATAAATTTAAAATGACATAGTATAATGTTTTACTATTTCAAGTAATAAATATTTTACTATGAAATTAGTAGTTTTCTTCTAAAAATATTATTATTTTTTAGTATTTTTTTAAATAAATAATTAACATTAAAAATAATAGAGATCAAAACGTTTAATAATAATAATTTTACTTTAAAATTATGATATACATATACGTATACTATCCTAGACTCTAAAACCACAACTTCAGCACATACAAATTAATAGCAGAACGGGATGCAGTGCAATTACCTACACTAAGAAAAATAAATAACCGATTAGTTGTCTATTAATAAATATTTATTTGAAACAAATAATTTTTATTTGAATAAAGTAAATTGTAATTGAATCAAGACTTTTAATATTTAAAGCAAATGTTATTTAATTTTATTAAATTTATAAATTAATTTATATTAAATTACTAATATTATAAATTATTAATTTATATTAAAATTTAAATTGCACGGTTAAATACTATTTTAAGAAATTCTACGCAATATATTTTTAAATTTAAAAAATAACAAACATTCTTTAATTCAATAATTTTTAATTCCACGCATAGTTAAATTGGACGCCATAGAAAACTATACTCTCAAAACAACTAGATTTTACAAAAAAGTCTACACGTTAGAATAAAATAAGAATAAATTTTCAATCTAATTTGTTTAATTCTACATGACTAAAATATAAACCAGAAAATTGTACACAAGATCATATGTTCTTGATCCAAAAACATATGGAATTCGATGAAGAAATTAATCAACATGTAAGAAATGTAAAAAATATTATTTATTTCTCAATAAAAGTAAATATTTACTTAAATTAGTCCCCCCTTACCCCCCATCCCATCACTTCTAATCCGTTTTTATTATTTAACTAATTAACATTTATAATTTTTATTATTTATTTAAATAATTATTATTTTACATATATATTTACATTTCATTAATACCTAACACAAATACAACAAACATACCTAGAAAGAAAATTTTCCACGGTCGGAGGAATTGAACCCGGGTTGCACGCACCAGAGGCTGTCACTCTACCACTATATGCATGGGAAAAATTTCAATTTTCGAAAAATAAAATTCACGAGGGTTTCAAAAAAGTTAACAATAAGCTACTAGTATTTATAGAGGGCTCTCTGCCAAGTAATTTGATCTATGTATAACTTTAAATTTTGACCACCCCAACCCTCTACAGCACTACACTAAAGTTACCCCTTTTTTGGATATGTATATTATTTAACGTGTTTTTGCGGTATAATATCGACTTTTTAACGATTTTAAATGAAAACTGTTTAAATAATTCAAATTTGTTTAAATAATTTGTTTAAACAAATAACTATTTTTTTGCACTTTGAGCAATAATTATGAAGTCCAAGCTAAATTAAGTTTTGTCTAAAATGTTTTTTAATGTTTTATAAATGATTAATTGTCATTTAATTTCCAATTCTCGTAAAATTTCCCCAAATAATTTTTCTTAATACGTTTAACTGCATAAAGCACTTAAAAATGTTTTTCAATTATTTAAGAATTTATATAAATAATTTCCTTTGTTTAAACAATTAATTTAAAAAAATAATTTCATTTTCGACTATCAAAAAAAATATAAGACAATTTTTTTATTGGAAATTTGATTTAATAAAAAATATAACTGCAAGGCAAAATTAAAAAAATATTTTTTTTAAATTAAATGTTTAAACTAATTGGAATTATTTAAACAATTGTCATTTAATAATAAAGTAATTCAGAATACTTTGCATACTAAGTAAACATAAGATCTGGCAAAAAAACGTTAAAAATCGATATTATACCGCAAAAACACGTTAAATGATAAATATCCAAAAAAGGGTTAATTTTAGGGTAGTGCTATAGAGGGTTGGGGTGGTCAAAATTTAAAGTTATATAGGTCAAATTATTGTCAGAGATCCCTCCATAAATTCTAGTAGCTTATTGTTAACTTTTTTGAAACCCTCGCAAATGATCTTGATTTTCAAAAATTGAAATTTTTCCCATGTATTTTACCTAGGAAAATTAAAGTGCTAGGTGGCACCTGTTAATATCAATACTTTTTAAAATAATAAGAATACGTATTTATTTATTTTTTTTGGCATTGGAACAAAATACGAGGGTTTCTTGCTTTTTTCTACGAAAAATGTTTATACAATGCATTTTTGGGCCACCCTTGTTCAATGCTAATTATTACTTGGCACAAGAAAATTAATTTTTTCTCTCATCAAATAAACATAGGATTGATTCAAGTAAATTATGACAACTAAATGCATTTATTTGATTCAATTATTCCACGTCAAAAAATTCAGTGGAAGTATTCCTTGGAAATTCCATAAAAATTCTGCAAATTTAAATTTTAATATTATTTTAACATTTCTATGACAATTAAAGTCTAATAATAAGCTTTGTTGCAATATATTTGCAAAATTCGTATTTTAAAGTAAACTCGCATTATAGAAGGTTGATACAAGTTGTTAATTATTAATCATTAATTATATTTATTTAAATAAAAACATTAATTTAGTACATCACATTACCAATTCATATAGCCACAATTATTATGGTATTATATATATATATATATATATATATATATATAGTATTGTACAAATAATATATAATTAAAATTAATATCCTATTTAGTCATAAATATATAAATAATATTTATTTTTTGTCAGTTTATAATCGTAATGGTTATGATAATTGTATTATCATAATGGTTGTGAACTGATAAAGAAAACAATTCTGACGCACTAAATAAATGCTTTTAATTAAATAAATATAATTAATGATTAATAATAATTAACTTGAATTTTGATTTAATTATTTTTGACATCCAAACCTCAAAAATATTTTTTGTTTTATTATTAATCAGCAAAGAATAAAAAATAATATTAAAATTAAAAATTTGCAGAAATTCCATTGAATCTCCATGAAAATTTCATGGAATTTCCAGGGAGTACTTCCATGGAATTTTTTTTTTTATATAAATATATTCAATATATTTGAAGGTATAGAATTAAAAATTAAATAAAATAAAGAATAAAACACTTTCTTGCGCAAAAATATAATACGTAATACAATTTTCTGGTGTAGAATTTAAGCTATGTAGAATTAAATATTTTTTTCTTGTTGAATAAATTTGTTTATATTAGTAAAACTAATAGAGTTTATTAAATGCATATTATGTAGAGTTAACTTGCATAGAGTTAATAATTGTGTAGAATATTTTTTGTATGGTTTATTTGCGTAGAATCGACACCAGAAAAAAATTTCATTAAAATCTTTTAATTCTACGTGATTAAAGAGATTCGATCTAGTAGCCGCTGATGAACTATCAACCTTAAATTACTTCTTTTCAATATTTAATAAAATAATTTCCTCGCAATATTATTGCAAAAATGAAGAAGGGTCCCACTCAGTAGGCCTTCCTCTATTATTCCTCCAAATATGAACCCGAAATATTTTCTCCTCTGAAGATGAAAAGAAATCTTCAAAACCCCTTTTTCTGAATGTTTAAACGATTTTTTCAATAATTATTTATAAAAATTATGCAAAATTCCAAGAAGAGAAGAAAATTTACCCAAAATATTCTTTTCTTTTTAAATAAAAAGGAATACTATTTCCTCCTGAATGATCTACATCTTTGCATACTAATATGTCAATTTTAAGCAGAAAGTATTAAAATAATATATACAGTTTTCCACCCTTGCATACATACCTAACAATTTAACCAAAAAGATTCTTTTAAAACTTGTCATATTTATCTTTATATTTTTCTTATGAGTAACGCAACGTTTCAAGACTAATCAATTTGAAAAATCGAGAGGTTCCAATTGGACTTGAAACGTGGCTTATAAATAATAGAGATACATGTCTGAAGTTTCGAAACAGTTTTCCTGGCTAGAATTGGTATACATACGTACCTATCACGAAACAAATAAACAAAGAAGAAAAACAGTATAAACTTTAAAAAAATTGACAGCAACTTAAAATTGAAAACAAATTTAATTTTTGAAACTTTTATTTAAAATTTTAATTATTTAATTTTTAAATTTGTACATTTTTAAATATATTTATTTAAATTCAAAATAGAATTAGAGAAGGAATTTTGAATACAAAAACTAAACGAATTGCGTTCTCATCGCATAAGAAAATTTTACAAAAGGTATTAAATGGATTTTTAATATTTTCTGCTTTTTTCTGTTTCAGATTATTCGTCTTGGATGTATCCTAAATAATTCATTAAAGTCACTGGTTTTAAATTTTGACCTTGACCTCTGCGTTTAATATATTAAGAAAGTATATAAATATTTCAAATTATTATTTAGTATGAAAGTTTTTGTAAACGTCAATTAAAAAAAATAAACATAAAAAGTTAAGGATTTCTTAACGTTCTACATTATATTGAAGAAGCATGACTGAGGAAGTAGTGATGAGCTTCAAAAGTATTGTAAATCAAATTAAGATTTAAATATCATAATAATTATTATACAACAAAGTTTTAATCTAATTTTATATTTACAATATAAATTGTAAATATACAAACAAGACTGGGCTTAAAGGCTTTTTATTTATTGTTTTAAAAAATAATATATATAAAAATATCGTTAAATCAAATTGATAATCAAATAAAAATAATGGCCAACACACAAGAAAAGTCAAATTCTGGCAAAGGATTATTACGTAATAATGAAAGTACATCTGATATAGAGCAACCGGATTTTTCAAATGGATTTGAAAATCGAATTGTAGATTTCGATTACCGTTCCCAAGAAAGAAATATAAATGTCTGTTCACACTTTATTCCATCGCAGGATAACAAATATGCAACGTTGACTGATTCATTGAAAAGTGTGATTCATAAAAATAGTCCAAAACTGTCGGTAGTTAATCAAACGGAAGAGGCACATTCTTCTGTTGAAAAATTATCTAAACAATTTGTTGATCATTTACAATGTTCCCTACAAGAAAGTACTCAAAATGTACCACTATTGCAAACACAATCACAACCACAGCAACTACATTTCATTCCCGAAAGTAAAGAAGAATTTAGCAATTTTTCAAATATTCGTAGTCAATTTGAAATTAGATCACAAATGTATCCACCTCAGCAAAAACAAAATTTCGAAAAGGCTTGTTACGTAACAGCTGAGAAGGTCAGTATGAACAATATTTATCGGAATGATAATCCTGTTTCTACTGTTGCTGCAAGTCATTATGTGACAAATCAGCCATCATCAAAATTATCCCCACAATCAACAAGTCCAAAACCACGTTATTATTCTGGTGTATTTGCTCCTCCGTTAGATCAAAGATTTGTGACCACTGGAAGGCAGCCACAATATCCATATAATTCCTGTCCCGATACTGTAGTCAGTGCTTATATTAAAGAACAGACAATAATTAGTCCTTACAACCCACATGTAGAAATTTACTCAACTCAAAACCCAGCAAAGCATCAACGTTTCATTCAAGATTTAACTCAATACCAAATGCAACATGCCGCTCAATCAGGTTCTCAAAATATTCACCAGTCCGTAGCGGTCACGAAAACAACAGACAAAACTTCTCGTAGAGGACCAAAACCTTTGGTGCCGCCTAGAGGAAACTCGAAAATAACTTACGATGCTGGAACTAAATCACAAATTACTAATAACACACCACAACATACAGCTGTCCAAACAGCCTACCAAGGACCAAGCACTTTTCCAGAAAAGACTAATGCATTAACGTCTTCTGCATCTCAATCAACAATCGATGGGGACAATAAATTCGTCACGTCATTAACACAAAAACCAAGAACGAGACAGGACGGATTGCCAGATGACATAAGAATTAATCTTCCAAGAGAAAATACAGAACCAATTATTTCAAATCCAATTTATGTATCTAAACTAGAAAATCGAAAATCTATCGACGTTCCTACAAGTATTCAAAAAAATAACTTTACCACTGACACAAATTCAGAACTAATCAAATTTGATCGAAAGACATCATCCGTTATTGACATCAAAAATGATCTAAATCCGATATTTTCATCAGAAGTGAAAAACAATGAAAATATAAATTTTCCTCCTCTTGATCGCAAGGAAAACATAAGAAGTGACTATTTGGATGAATATAAAATATCAATGACACTTGATGGAAACAGATTAGAAGACATAAGAAAATCGCCAATGCTTTTTGTACCCATTCGTGACACATTATTGGAACGAGGAAATCAAAAAAGTCCCTCTTTTCAGGATCAACAATTTGAAAAAACAAGACAGGAGTTAAGCGCCTGGGCCGAGCAACGTCAACGTCAGGAAATAGAGAGAGGAATACAGCAGAATCAATTTTTTATCACGAGTTCACGATCGAGAAATCAGGTGGAGGAAAGGATTGATGAAAAATTAGCGAATCAATTTAATAATCGTAAAGATATGAGAATATTACCACCAAACATACACCCAGTACCTGATATTAGTCAAAATGTTCTACTCGAGCAACGTCGACATTTACGACACGTCAGTGCCGATCTCACCAAGCACATTGAATTTACTAATAAGGAATTTAACGATCATTCAATAAGTGGATCAGTTTCAAATTTAGTGCCTACTACTAATGTTGTTTGGGTTCAAAAAGTAAACCCTACATTATATAATCAATATCCTGCTCATAGTGAGACAAAAATCGATACCAAGTCTGCATTAACTGTTCTCACTGATTTTGGTGATGCGACAGAAAAACCTTTTCATCAAGTAGATCACATTATTCACAGTCATCGAAAGAGTCACGTGCTTTCCTCAAATTTATCAGTATATGGCAAAAATCAGACAGACAAACAAGGTTTAGAGACAGAGACGGATTGTTTGCATCAAACAGAACAGAAGCAATTTCAAAATCAACATCAAAGTTTAGACTATCTTTCTAATAAATTAAAACAATGCGAAATTCAGCAAAGCGATCTTCACGCAAAACTTCAGTGTTTACAAAATCAGAATCAATTTTTAGATAAGGTTGCACAATTTCAAAATCGTCAAGGCGACGTACAATTGCACAGTCAGTATTATTTGATAAAGAACAAAATTCCAGAGAATTATCCAACGCACTTGATTGCTACGAAAATTGAAGGAACATCAAATGAAATGGATGAAGAATCGTCTACATTTTTATATCAACAGCAAAAAAGTTTAATGAATCAAAATCTTCTAACATCATCATATTCATTGACATCTTCTTCACAACCATCAAATCCTTACGATAGATTATCGCCAAGATTACAACAGAGGGAAACTGATGACACCTTCGCATCTGACATTCCTAATATTCTTTATCCAAGTCAATCACAAATTGATGTCAATTATTCATCACGCCGCTCGTTCAATCAACTTAATCGACTGCAGGATCCTTCTAATAAGCCTACAAATTTTCAATACTCGTCAGTGATGATGCCACCAAGCAATATTCATATTACTGGAACGTTAAAGAAAATACCGCCTGAGAAACCACCCAGGACATCTCTCATTATGCAGAGTTCAGAAATAGAGGTAAATATTTACAATAAATATGAACAGCTCGCGGTTATTCAAAAACTAATAAAAGTTTGATAACAATTGAAAAAGATGAGACAAAATTAGCTTCTTGGCTTATTTATCATATTTTAGCATATTTTTTAGAGAACTTTTTTCAAATTTTTATTTAACCCTTTCGTGTCTCCGGGAAATATATATATGTCCCACTTAGAAAAATTTTTGTTATTCTTATAAAAGTCAAACAATTAATTTGCAGTAAATTTCCTTCTATTCCGAATAGCCACTGCTACAATTAAAAAAATAATAAATTATGTAGTACGATCATAATTACTATAAACAATAAGTTAAATATTTATAAGAAAATAGCGAAATCTAATTTTTCAAAATTTCCTCAAATTCACTTAAAACTTCTTGCTCAGGAGTTTTCGGGGTGACTGATTACGAATCTAAAGTTAGATTTTCAAAATTCAAAATGGTGGACACTTTTTCAAATCTGCTCAAATTTGCTTAAAACTTGTTATTCGGGAGTTTTCAGGTGTCGAAATTTTGAATTTTTTAAATCTGACTTCAGATTAGTAATCAGCGATCCCGAAAACCCCCGAGTAACAAGTTTTATGTAAATTTGAGCAATTTTGAAAATAAACGTCCGCCATATTGAATCCGCCATTTTGAATTTTCTACATTTTGACAATCTGACTTCAGATTCGTAATCAGCGACCCCAAAAATCCCTGAGTAACAATAAGTTTCAACAAAATCTAATCGCTGGGTTTCTCGGGGGCACGAAAGGGTGAAAAATGTTTGTGCAATTTGTTTAAAACAATAAAATGTCATTTTTTATAGTGTTTATGTTTTAAATCTTTAAAATAATTCATATTTTTTTATGTGAGTGTATTTTAGAGTTGTAATATTTTTTTTTATAATTTATGTACTTTACATCTTTGTGATACATTTATCCCTATCATAAAATGAACACAAAAATCTATAGTCCAATAAAATTAGCATTTTAAGACTTTTTATCTCAGGACCGCAATTTTTCTTTGCTTAAGCCCTTCACTTTAGGGTCAAAATAAAGTGTCTAAATTTGGTACTTCGAACTCTATCGGGAAAGCAAAAAATTTTTACAAAATAGGTGCAAAAAATCAGTTTTTTGAAAATTGACGCTTTCTATTACATTTTAGAGTAAAAATAGTTATTATAAAAAAGAAAGTGTATAAAATTCTCAGTAATTTAAAAAAAAGTGAACCCTGTAGCTCAAAAATTGACCGAGATATGCTCTCTGCAAGAAACCCGTTTTTTTTCGTGATTTTAGCAAAAATTCGCTATTTTCAGTTTTTTCAGTACTACTTCTAAAATAATGATTTTTAAAAAATATGACCATCAGAGGACTTAAAGCTCACTAAATTCCTGACAATTTGCGACAAAGAACCATAAAATAGCTTTAATAGTTTTAGAGATACAGTCTCTCAAAGTTGACCCTTTTTGAGGTTAAATTGCAAAGATTAAAAATTAATTGAAAATAGTTAAAAAAATTTTTCTAATCTTATTTAGAGAATTTTAGAGAAATTACAAATGATTGCAGAAATTCAATTATTTTCAAATGTAATAAAGTTCTTCGCAGAAATTCAATTATGTAGTTTAAAATTTTTTTTAAATTCTCGTCAAAATTCCAATTAGTGTTAGAAATAATTAAATTCTTGGCAAAATTTCAATTATTTTCAAAAATATTCCTCAATTCAATGACTTTCAATATCTACTATTTTAATAAGATTTTCCAAAAGAATTAATTAATTTTGATAAAATTTATGAGAATTTAATTTTAAGAAACATACAATTATTCAATAAATTATTTTCTTTTGTATTTAAATAATATTGAATTCTAGTAGAATTTTCTAATAAAAATTGATTTAAAAATGGATTTCAGTTAAAATTTTAGATAATAATTGAATATTAAAATTAAAGCGTGAATTTTTAGAAATAATTGAATTTTGAAAAAAAGGTTTCAAATTAAAATCTTTAAAAATCTATCTTTTTCATATTTTTAACTAAGAATTCTGTGGAATTAATTTTTTGAGAAAGTTTAATTGTAGATTTTTTTTTAAATTATTTGAAGTTTTTATTTTCTAATATATATTTAATTGAAGATCTTCCAAGTAATCAAAATTTCATAAAATTAAATTGTAAACAAATGAATTTAAAAATTCTCAAAGAACTTTTTTAAAAATTATTTAAAATAATGCATTTATAGAAGAATTTCAGTTAAAAACACGAAAAAAAAAATTAATTTTGAAAAAAAAGTTACAAATTATTGCAAAAAATCAATTATTTTCAGGAGTAATAATATTCTTTGCAAAAATTAAATATTGTTCAAAAATAATAAAATTCTTCTTAGGAATTAAATTATTTTGACAAATAATAAAACTCATCGAAGAATTTCAACTATTTTTAACACAATCTTAATCGAATTTCTCGAAAAATGTAATTATTCTTAAAAATTTTATTAAAATTCGTCCAAAGAATTCAATTAATTAAAAATTAGTTAATAAAATTTTTTATGGGAATTGAATTTTAAGAAACATTCAATTGTTCAATAAATTAATTATTTTTGTATTTAAATAATTGAATTCTGGTAGAACTTTCTAATAAAAATTGACTTGATTCTTCACAAGATTTAGTTAATAAAATTGAAATTTTAATAAAATTTTCCGATATAATTCAATGATTATTTTTAATATAATTCAATTATTTAATTATTTAATTCAATTATTTAAAAAAATTTGAATAAAATTCTTCGCAAGAAATCAATTATTACTTTCGTAAATATTAAAATTTTTCTTGAGAATTCTATTATTTAAAAAAATTTTGATAAAATTCTTCTCAAGAATTCAGTTCTTTAAAAATTTTTTTTATAAAATTCTAAGCAAGAATTCAATTATTTTCATATAAATAACAAAACTTATCACAAGGATTTCAATTATTTTTTATACAATTTTAAATAAAATGATAGAAAATTGCATTTATTCTTAAAATTTTTTTCAAAATTCGCAGAAATAATTCAATTATTTAAAAAAGTTTTGATAAAATTCTTCATAAAAATTCATTGTTAAGAAATATTCAATTATTGAATAAATTATTTATTTTTGTATTTAAATAATTGAAATTTCGTAAAATTGAATATTGTAAGATAAAGATTTGAAAATTATCAAAGAACTTTTCCGAAAATTATTAAAAATAATTGATTTAAAGAAGAATTTTAGATAAAAATTCTTGAAAATAATAATTGAATTGATAATGATTTTATTACTCGGTCATCTTTAATTATTATAGGTAAAACATGAAGGAGCGATCACTCCGAGTCGAAGACTCGGAGTTATCGATATCTTCATGTTTTATATAATTATGGAAAATTTAATTTATAGTTTTAAGTAAAATATTTTCTTATTTGACTTTAACTGGTTATATTTTTGTCACTAATTGGTCCGTAAATGGTTCGTAATTTTTCATTTTTTTGTCCTTAAAGTCCGTATTTTTAAATACTTTCTAGGATAAATAAATTAAAATTTTTAATAAAAATTGAATTATAACTTACTTTTAAAAAAGTAATTAAATATTGCCAAAAGAAGAAATATCGATTTTATCTATCCCATAATGTAGAAAACCCATGAAAATCAAATATAGAAAGTTTGTGAAAATATTAGCATGCAAGAAATACTATTTTTTACTGGGAAATATGAAATGTGTATATTAAAGGGAGAAATTAAAAAATTACAAATCCAAATTCATAATTCCATAAAGAAATAAATACCCTATAAACCTGTTCGAAAGTATTATTTATTGTTATATATACATGTATATATATATTCAGAGCTGTCCATAAGCGCAGGTCCAAAACGCAAGCGCATTTAGCTTACGGGTTCGCGTTATCGTTGCCTTCTGGTGCTAGCTGAAAGGAGGGTGACACCCCTTTGCGTTGTACTGCACTCAAGAGTCTCACTACCATTTTATCGTAAATTAGAAGACTGTGAAAACAATTAAGATTCTTTTTTATTCTGACTGGAAATATCTTCATATTATATTATTTTTCATTAAATCAATACACCGGAATTCGTTTAAATTACATTCTTCTTATAATGATTCCTTTTTAAAATAGAAATTTATTTTATTATTTAGTGTATCATATATAAACCGTCCTTTTATTTTTGTTCATTCATTCAAGTTAAAAGATTTTGTATATTTAATTTAGTCACATCCAGTTTCTTTAAATTAAAGTAAGCATTAATTTAAATTACTAATTTGAGATCAAAAAGCAAAAGTGAAAAGTGATAAGATTTCAAAGACAAGAGTAATTCACAGTACTTTCAAGCTGTTCAATGAATTTGGAAATACAGTGACTTAAAACAAGACGCAAATGAATTTTTTGTTTATTAATAACAGAATGAAATAAATGAAATTTTTCGTTGTAATGTGAGAGCAAAAGTGATTTTAAAAAGTGAATTAAATTGGAAATATCAAAAACAGGATAGTCAATTACATCAACCAGGTGAAAAATTTTCTTTAATTTAGAAAAAAGGGAAAGTAAACTCTATGAAATTCAAGTATAAATTTTATTATTATATTAAATTTGAAAAATTATCGAAAGCAGTTAATAAATTAATTATTATAAAATGAGAATATTGTATAATTACATAAAATGAATCTTACTTTTTTAAAATAAAGTTTTAATAAACTATTAGCTTTCCATTCATTATTTATTTACATATAAAGAAATTACTTATAAATTTTAATATTCAAGTATTTATTTAAAAGATAAAACTTTACGTGCATTATTGCTTTTAAATAAAAAATTACGAACAATAATATCTCTTGAATGAAATCTGAATTTGTAAGGACACTTAACGATACTAAATAAAAGTTTTTTCAAGTCTTGTGTTTTTTAAACTTTTTTTCCGAATACGATTTTTTGTTTATATCACAAATATAAGAAATATTTATTTTATATTATAATAGTTGGAATTACAAAATTTAAAAAGTCTGAAAAAAATTAATTTAATTCACTAATTATTACAATATTACATCGAGGACCACTACTGGCACAGTAACTCGCCTGCATTATTGTAAACGATTTGCTTGCGCTAATAGTGAACCACTACTGGTATTTACATTATTACATCAGTATTACAGCAAGTATCATTCTTTCAGTGTTGAAAAATCATAATTGATCTGATTTTTAACCCTTTCCTTTCCCATCAGTGAAATAAAATTACAGGCATCACAGTTGGTCCCCTTTTCCCTTTTTGTCCCCTTATTTCAATTTTATCACATTTTTCCCCTTTTTTTGCTGATTTGTCGCCTTTTTCACCTTTTTCTAATCAAAAATAAGCAAGTTTTTCCTTTTTTTAAATCTTTTTCAAAGTGTAATCATAAAATTTAGACTCAATTAATTTAGATTATATTAACACCAACATAATATAAATATTTTGTTTTATATTAATGATTGAAATAATCAGGGTTGCCACAAAAATTTAATTCTGTTTTTCTCTGATTTCCAGCCAAAATTTTGACTTTTTCTCTGACCCTAAAGAATATTCCGATTATTATTTTTCCATAGGAATTAAGATTTTCAAAACATTCAAATTTAAATCATTTTGAAATTCAATAACAGATCCCATTTTTTTGAGTATCTAATTATTTTTAGAGTGAATCAGAATATTCTTCTGGGTCAGGGAAAAAGTCAAAAATCAGGGAAAAAGAAAATTAAATTTTTGTGACAACTCTGATTAAATACCAGTACTGGTTAATTACACAGGACCACAAAATTTTTTTTAAAGAAAGTATTGACCGGACCATGTTTTTTATATGTTTTTTTGGTCGCTTAATTCGAATCCGAACTCAGTTTTGCGCCATCACGTCTAGTTTCTTCAAAATGGCGGATCCAATATGGCTGACGTATTTTTAAAAAAAATTATCAGATTTATTCGAAACTTGTTACTTAGGGGTTTTTGGGGTCGCTGAATACGAATTTCACCTTAGTTTTAAAAAATCCAAAATGGCGGATCCAATATGGCTAACGAATTATTTAAAAATTTCTCAGATTTTAAATTTTTGAAAACTAAGGTGAAATTCGTATTCAGCGACCCCGAAAACCCCTGAGTATAACGTTTCAGGTAAGTCCAACAATTTTTTTAAAAATTGGTCAGCCATATTGGATCCGCCATTTTGAATTTTTGAAAACTGAGTTGAAATTCGTATTTAGCAACCCCAAAAACCCCCGAGTAACAAGTTTCAGGCGAATTGGATGAATTTTAAAAAAATCGACGCCACATTGGATCGGCCATCTTTAATTTTGAATATTTACGAGTTTCTTTGATTGATTAACATTATATAATATTTTTTCAGTGTTTTAAAGTTGTTTTTTAATAGAATCTGCTGCTTATTTTTATTTAAATCTTATTTACAGTCAGTTTTTTTCGAATTTTATTAATTTGTGAAGAAACTTGACGTGATGGCGGAAAACTGAGTTCGGATTCGAATTAAGCGACCGAAAAAACATATAAAAAACATGGTCCGGTCAATACTTTCTTTAAAAAAATTTTGTGGTCCTGTGTTATTATTATTGTTCAAGACTTTGTTATATAATGCAGGATTAAAAGACATTTAAGAATAAAACATATTAGAAACAACAATATGTAATTATACGTTCTCATAACATCTTAATAAGTCAATATAACGTAATGACTATAGTTTAAAACAACCATTAAAATATTTGCATAAACTAAAAAATCATGTAATTTTATTTTGTGGTGATTAGATAAAGGCTAGATAGTGAGTATACTCTTGTCGTAAGTGATGACCGAAGGAAAGAGAGATTTGTACCGCGATTATAAATTCTTGTTGGATAAATGTGCGCGATGTACTATTATGCCAGTAAGTTGACTGCGGCCTCACTAAACGGTTCATCAATCGGAGGTGTAAATAGCGAAGAAAGTATAGGTGGAGATACATTATGCCGCTGTCACGAAATTCAAAATCTCTTTGGGCCGCAGTCATCTCAGCATCTACAGAAACCGTCCTATTTTCATCCTAGCTGTCCACAACAATTTTCAAGTTCTCCTAACATTAATACTCCCACTTCTGATACTATTACCTCTGAAATCATATTTGCAGCTTGTAATGAAAATACAAATCAATATCACTGGCATCAAGCTCGACACAAGGTGAGATTTTAATATCGAACTTGGCAATGCAGTAAATAATTATTACAACCATAAAGGTTGCTACACTTTTCATTTTATATATAATATCTGCCTCTCAAAATTCTTCGTTTATAATTGTGAATGTTGATGATAAAGTATGCATTCCTTTAAATGTTACAGTCGTCACAAAATCCTACCGAAAATACAGACGCGAAGGAGGCAACTGGTAATGGAGCAGAAATGTATTTAAATCCAAATCCAGGAATTATCACTGGTGGTAATTCTAATCTCCATGTTGTTCGAGAGACTGATGACATAGACAAGGAACATGTAAGATCATTGTCTATATGAATTGTAGTAATTAATACTATATTTCATTGATCATTCTCCATCACAGTTGAATTCTTGCTAGAACTGTCACTGAAAATGGCAATGAAAATTACTTTCTCTGAGAAACATAAGAAAGATTTTAATAAAATAATATAAATTCTTCTTTTAATAGGCGTTAGTGTACCGTGATGGTAATCTCGTATCAGGATCTTTGGAAGCCCTTATACAACATATGGTACCAACAGCAGAATATTATCCTGATCAAGCATATCTGTTCTCTTTTCTGTTAAGTGCTAGACTCTTCATTAAACCACATGAATTATTAGGAGAAGTTTGTGCTCTCTGTGAGAGTCAACAAAATTTAAGTGGAGAAAATGGAAAGGTAAGATAGGATATTTTTTTAAAATAATAAACTTACAAAGCTTTCTTAAAAACCTTTTCATATTTGACTTATCAACTTTGATATGTATTGCAGGAAAAATTATTACGTTTCGTACATCATATGGTACAATTACTTTCTGAGTGGACTGGAATATTTCCGTATGATTTTCGAGATGAAAGAATGATGAGTCATGTTAAATCTATTACACAAAAAATAGCTGCTGTTGACGCTGGTGTTAGACAAGAGGTTTCAAATTTTCTGCAAAATTTACTATTAAGACTCACAGCTCTTGAAAGATATGAAGAAGGGCTTGCGAGATTAGCTAAGGAAACTAGTACCGAACAACTCACACAGGTACTTTATATATAAAATATATTTTATTTATTCAATAACCTAACGTGATGTCACAGTTTGGACTACAAATTCGTGTTCAGCACAAAAAAAAGTACTAAACATTTATAAACAGAGTATTATAATATCTTAATTAATTTATTAATTAAAAATTTATAATGTGATTTACTTATGCTTTCAGATTGATTTACTTGAGTTGTGTCCATCTGCTACAATTTTGGCACAACAATTGACTCATGTAGAACTGGAAAGGCTTTCTTACATTGGTCCTGAAGAATTTGTTCAAGCCTTTGCCAAGGTACGTAAATGTTTTTTTTATTAATCGTCGACTTCATATTAACCTTAAAAGTACACACTTCAAAAACTTACGTTCGTTACACACATGGGCGATTTGTAATCTGCAATACTTTGAAACCTTATATCTTTGTCTCAAATTGATGAAATTCAGTCGATTTTTTTTAATCTATAGAAAATGTTCTGAGGAATATGAAAAATTCCGATGTGATAAAAGATAATCATTTCGTTAAAACAATTAATTAAAAAAATTAATAAAATTTTAATAACAAATAATTAGAGGAGAGTAGGGCAAACCGGTCATACTAATTTTTTTTTACTCTTGTGACTAAATGAACCAATCAATTTCATTTTTCATTCGGTTGTTTGAAAGATCATTTAATTGCGCAACATTTTCCAAGAGACACCTATACTTTATTTTTTATTGTTTAATTACCGTGTTAACTTTAAAAAATTTTGCAAACTGTCCGCTTTGCTCCATTCTGTGGGGTAAACCGGCCACTTAGGTTTTTTATCTATAATATTGAATTTATGTATTTGTTATGTCTCAGGAATGAAACTAAACATAATATTAATTTATATATTTAATTTGTCCGGCATCGGTGATTCATACCTGATTTATTCGCAGAGTCCCTTGAAATCAGAGTGATTTCAAGGGACAGGTTTTAAGAAAGAGTAACTGTTTAATTGAAGTTACATTATTAAAGTTTTTATTTGAATCCTTTACAATTAGAATGAGAGAGAAAGAGTAGATCCAAATGTCATGTGTTCAGGGATACTGAAACAAATACGAACTTTGTAGAATCAATCGAAAATTTAGATGGGAACTAATTTTAAAAGTATTAGCTACTTACTTTTTAATATTATTATTAGAGTCGTAGACCCAACAGGCGATACCTCCTTTAGTGTGAGGTCGAAGCAATGACGTTGTCTACTGGGAAACAGAATATGAAGTAGATTCCTTCGAATTATTATTTTCGGGCCAGCCAAAGTGGAAGGTCCGGAGTCCAGGTGTCGAATTATTGATTTGATGTTGAAGTCGAAATAATGCAGTCTTGGTACTTGAAGAGATTTTGGACTAACACGAAGAATACGCTTAGGGGTAGTACACGACTTGTTAACTTGGTCGCGGTTTCTTGAGTAACGAAGAACGCGGGTTTCTGCTTCGAGGGTGACTTCTTAACTTGGTGGCGATTTCTGGACTTATACGAAGAACGCGTGTTTCTCATTCAAGGGTGACTTCTGGACTGATGGATTCGGCGAAGGTGGTTCCTTATATAGTTTCCTTCCACAAGGGGAATTTTATGTTTTACCACCCATTTTTATTACCTCTGGGTTAAAGTGATAAAAATTGTATCACGTGTAAGTGGAGAACCAATAGGAAAAATGACAAAAGATAGAAATGACCATATTTGGCATTCGCTAATCAGAGAAAGACTTCTTCGGATCAATACATGCGTTGATTGGTCACTGTTTTAGACAGTTCAGTAACCTTATAGAAGGGTGACAATCGTGGATGACCATATATAGAAAAGTCTGTCCAAGATGATACACATTTGTATTGATGTGTTTGGGGTACAGGAAAAAGGGAGAATTCAGATTCTAACTTCACAAAATATTATTTAATAAATATCAAATACGTCGTGATGACGTGACATATTCTACAATAACAACAAATCTTATAACAAGGCATTTGTTACTGAGATAATAGCGGCTTGTCTTTGTCGGAAAAGTCAGCGTGTTAGTTGGTATCTCTTTCTTAAATTTCCAAAGTTGATTTGATTCTGGTTGCGGCTCACTGTATGTGATGAGAATAAGGCGTGGTGACGAATTTCCACGATTGTTAGCGGCCAGGGACGAATTTATTTTCAGGTGATTTTCCATCGTTAGAGGGACCAGGAAGGATTTATCAGATTTGAGTGACCTTAGGACAAGGACAGGAAAACCGGCGTCTCAGCTGATGAGTTCATTATCAGTAGCCATGTGATAATATTCATTCGTTTACCGGCGGTCATGTTATGAGCATTCTTCGGTTTTGGTATTCTTTGATTACGTGTAGATTGTGGTTTAAATAAAAGAGTTATTTAAATGCGAAATCTAGTGTAATTAATATGTGTTTCATTGGGGAGTAATTCGTGGTTCCTTAACTGCAGTTCTGTTCTGGCGGCTCGTGGGTGATGCGAATCATAATTTCTCTGTCTCATCGTCGGTTGTCTTGACGGGAAGTTCCACACTTTGAGGAAGTATTGTCTCGGTGTTGTTGTTTGTGTTATTTGTTATGTTCGAGACTTCGAGTTGTCGGTGCATAAAAGGAAAGCGAATCAACGAACGGTTTCGATGCTTGTATTAAATTATCATTTTAATTAAATTAACCGGTCGCAGTCTAAAGAATCATGTGAACAATCGACCGTAATAAACCTACGAAATTTTAGGACAATCCATCAAAACGTACAGAAAAATTAAGTTAATTGTCTGTTTCTTTACCATTATCAAATAAATCTTTAATTTAAATAAATAAAATTTAAACAATAATATTTCGTCCAAATATTATTCATGACTTTATTTGCAGGAATTACCCCATCTAGAAACATCTTTTAAGGAAATGAAAAAAACTCGAAACTTGGAATCTTATGCACAATGGTTCAATAGGTTGAGCTACTTTGTAGCCACAGAAGTATCAAAGGTAATATATTGTCAGACATTCATACTTTTCTCTTCTCATCAATTTTGTAGAGTCTAAAGTTTTGTAACATAATAAAATTTATGGCTTAGTTTTCTTCAAATGACTATTAAATAATAATTGTATTTTCCAGCACATTAAAAAGAAACAACGTGTTCGCGTGGTTGAATATTGGATTGAGACTGCTAGAGAGTGTTTTAACTTTGGTAACTTTAATTCGTTGATGGCGATAATAGCTGGGTTGAATATGTCACCAGTTACGCGACTTAAGAAAACGGTGAGGAATTTAAATTCAAATAAATTTCATTTTTCAATTAGTTCAGTAAAAAAATATCTCATAATATAGGTCATCTGGATTGTGCGTGATGCGTGAAATTTTATACATTTATGTGACAAATGCTTTTTTTATATGCTTTTAGTGGGCGAAAGTGCAGACGTCTAAATTTGCAATCTTGGAACACCAAATGGACCCTAGTAGCAATTTTAGTAGTTATCGCAGTACTCTAAAGGCAGCAATGTGGCGTAGCGCAGGCGCTACAGATGAACAACAAAGGATAATTATACCATTTTTCAGTCTATTGGTTAAAGATTTATACTTTTTAAACGAAGGCTGCAGCAACAAGTGAGTAATATTTGTAATTGAAAATTCAGAGAAATATAAGATATAAGATAGATTTCAAAAAGCATTTTACAATAGTATTTGTTTCACCTGACGGCGATTCTTGATTATTATGCAATTTTCTATTTTTGCTCTAGACTTCCTAATGGGCACATCAATTTTGAAAAATTTTGGCAATTAGCTAAACAAGTTACGGAATTTTTAACATGGAAACAGGTGGTGTGTCCTTTTGAAAAAGATTCTCGTGTCATAGCTTTTTTACAAGCCAGTCCCATTTTGACCGAGAATGGTAAGAAGCATCATTTTTCATCCATTAATATAAAAATATTGTTTGATTGATTGGGAAAACATTTTAAGAAGTACATATAAATATTTATATGTACTTCAAAAAATGTTCAATAAATGTGGAAAAAATTTGAAGATCAAAACTCAATAGGAAATCATTTTATTTTCCAGCATTGTCCTTAGCGTCGTTTGAATGTGAACCACCTGATACTAATCATGAAAAAGAACGTTACAAAACTTTAAAGTAAGCTATTTTAATATTTCAAGTAATATTAAAATTATCATAAGGTAAACAGTGCAAAATATTTATTTTAATCTCTTTCTTCATTTTAGTAAAGAATAAATCTTTTTTAATCAATAATTAGTGATGTAATAGATTTTGATTTTTCAGAGCTGAACAGAGTATGTAGAGAACATTATTAATAATGTTATTTACCAACCTAAAAAGTATGAAGAGTTATATATGGAAATAGTTATCCTTTTGAAGACAATTATTATTATTTGAAATGACCAAATAAAAACGGTCTTTAGAAAAATGTGAAGCACAATAGTGCTAATGATAACGCACCAAAGAAGACATTAATATAAGTATTAGTAAATCCTATTGTTTAATTTAAATAGATTCAATAATCATTGAATATGAACTATAAATTTTAATGATTTGACTTATTTTTTAATAATTAGAAAAAATGTGAAGTAAAGGAACCAGTTCCCGTATACAGATTATTTAAATAACAGACTTTTTCATATATTTATCTATTAAATTTTTATATTTCTTACATATTACAAATAACAAATTTAAATTCTACTAAATTACTAAATAAATAGGTATTACCTACATTACTCACTAAAAAAAAAACTGACACACGCTCAGTACCTGCTGGTTCTTTTACTTTAAATACCAGTAATCCGACTACAGATATTAATAAATATTTAATCAATTTTTTTACTTGAGATTGTAAATTCCCGTTTATTGAAGATGAATAAGTGCTTCATATTGTAATGTTAAATGGTATTTATATTATATTTAAGTTTTCGACATATGTTTTATGTACAAAACTGCCAACTATGCCTAGCAATAGAAGAGATTATTCCTCTAATAATAATTTAATCGACTAATTTTACTGATCTAGTCATTTTCCAAAGTTTATAATTATAATAATAGATTATTTATAATAAACCGAAAATTGTTTTTCGAACGATTTTTAAATGTGATTCTTTGTTTTGTAAATGTTTAATTTTAAATAATAAAATAACTTTTGAAAATATTTTATAGCCTTTTTGAATATGATCTACGTCCCAAAATTGTTTTGAAAGTTCAAATTAGTTAATATATTTGAGTGCCTCGGAGGGTACAAGTGTCACTACTCTCTGAAAGTTTCCAAAGGCATTGTTAGAGTCATAGAATGTTCAATTTCAGCAGCACAAGACCTATTAGATGCGATAAATGCCAACGATTTAGTCACGTAAAAGCTCAATGTAGATCTAAAGGTTTCAGATGCGAATTCTGTGGAGGACCACAATTCACTGACGATTGTGAGGGGAAATTAGAAAGGAGTCACTGCTGCAACTGCGGAAGTGAATCTTATGAATTGTATATTTAATAAAAACGAATTTGAAGCAGCTCTATTGGATGTAATTAGTTACGAAATTCTTTGTAAATTACCTAATTAAAAATTTAAATTTAAAAAATTAAATTAATTAAATTAACTAAATTTAATTAAAATTAAATTTTTAATTTCTTTGTAAATTATCTAATCCTCTTTTAGAGATTATCTTGGACTATATACTTGGAGATTATCCGAAATCTTGGAGAAACACCCTCCTAAGATTTATTCCCAAATCAGGGGGAAGATTTAGGCCGATATCCCTAACTTCCTGTACGGCCAAACTCTTTGAGAAGATCATACAGAGGAAGCTGGAGTATTTTCTGAAGTGGAAGAATGGATTCCGGACTATGGATGCAACGTCACTTTTAGTATGTAATATAGACTCTAAATCCTCAATAAACCTGATTTCCAAACCTATTATACACAATCCTAAAATTCCCTTATACACCAAGTTGATATGTGAATCGATGAACAAGTACAGAAGACAAGGCTTAGGAGAAGTTGAGTTTCTTTGGATACCAGCTCATATGGGTATCCCAGAGAACGAAAAGGCTGATAAACTTGCAAAAATTACTACAGAGTTTCCGGCTTCTATGAGAAACCAGTTAGTGTATGACGATGTCAAAATTCTTATCAGGGATGATCATAGAGACTGGAAAAACCTGTTATGGCCATATGGTCCGATTTCAAACAATATCTACTTTAGACATATTAATCTGAAGACTAAAAGACCGTGGTTTAGGAATAAAAAGGAAGGAAGATGGCTAACTACTTTAATCACAAGATTAAGATCGGGTCATATACGTACTGCCGATTTATTTCAGACATTTAATTGTATGGTTTTGCATCATCTTATAAAATATTGGAATTCAATCAATTCGGAACACGACTTCTTTACCTACGGGGACTAAAGAACAATAATCAAAACCAAACCAACCAAACCGAAACCTTCTGTGAGACGGTTGAAGACGCTAACCTTCTGTTATCCTCTGCACTGCTAATACACATGGAATTGTCCTCCTTTGTCCCCGAATCACTTATCCATGGTAAGGGATCAATAAACGTTTTAAGTGCCCATTTAGTTAGTGACGTCGTTGACAAAATGGATCTGCAATCTCCAACTTCTCTTGTCTCGGCATCTAGAAGGAGCAAAAAGGCAGTAACAATCGACTCAACTATATTGAATTGCGATTTAAGTCGTGCAAAACTCCAAAGACCATCTTCAATCTTAATAAAAGGGGAATATATATATTCTCAAACCTGATGATGCAAATCGGATGAGCTTAGATTCTTCCACTAGTTCCTCTTTACACTCGATGCCTCCTAGGAAAAGTTCTTAATCATCGAAAAAAACAAGAAAACTCCAATAATCCAAATAAAGAAAAAACTCTACAACAAACAACAGCTATTATACTCAATGAACACCCTCCCATCGCAGGAACTTCTTCTGAAGTCCAAGTTCCAAATATCTCACAAGAATCAGTTCCGAGTAATTTCCAAGCTGACACAGATACTAGTCCTGCAAATAATCAGGATTTGGTTCGGAACGAATCAAAAAAAGATAAACATGCAGAAACCTTCATAATTATTAGACATCCTGATAATCGATATACCGCTATCCGCAAATTCAAATTCTGATTTAATCAAGCTAGCTTCAAATTAAATTCAATTCCGATTTATTTAACTCTATATATAACTAAGTATTGAATTAAATTAATTATGAGTTCTTCTTTAAATAAAGCAGAATTTAAATGCACTACTTAGAATGTGCGAAGCCTAATTAATAAAAAAACAAAATTTGAAACATTTGTACATTAAACCAATTTTGATCTCTTATCAATTACTGAAACTTGGTTTTCAGTAAAAACCACAAAATTCAAAATAAATGGATGTAAATATGTATAAAGTGTTATCGCAATCACCCTTCCCCAGGGGGGTACCGCTATCTTTGTTAAAGACATCTATCTTTTCAAAAAAATTGACCTAGAGGGTTCGTGATTGAAGTTCTTGCAAATAGTAGGCATCAAGGTTAAATGTATGTAGTTTCCATATATATATAACTTCCGAAAAGCAAAATTAAATGAGCTTTATATACAATTGTGTTATATTGATTGGGATAAGGAATGTATTACCGGTGATGTGGCCATCTCAAACTGCCGGACTCGACGAAGCTCCTGGCATCCATGTTAAAGATTGCACGGAGAGAAGGGCGTAGTAGATTCTACTGACATGGCAGTTAAATCTACTAAACAGAATCGTTAGGTTTGGACTGACGGTACAGACAGTGCCATCTACTGCACTGTTTAGTAAGATAGTAAGATACACTGAGCAAACAGTATATTCTACTAAACAGAGAGGTGTCGTAGTGTATTATACTAAACATACAGTTGGCGCCACTAACCGGTGCACTAAATGATTTACTAAACGCGTTCTGTCACATTTACTGCAGCTCTTCTCTCCGTGTGCGCATCTCTCCTATCCTATCCATTAACTATAATTTTTAACCAGGCATTATCAACTGGTCGTTTCCCGTCGATCTGGAAAACAGCAAAAATTATTTACCTGTTTTTAAACTTGGCGACAAATCACAATGTGAGTATTATAGACCCATTGATAATATACCAAATTTCGCAAAAGTCTTTGAATTTACAACTTAACCATTTTTAAATAACTCTGTTAAAACAACTCTTTGCGAAGAACAACATGGATTGTTTCATTTAAACAGTCTATCGTACAATCTCTACAAAAACGTATCCAGGTCGACGTGTTATACCTTGATTTTGCTAAGGCTTTTGACACTATTGATACACTTTAGCCGATCATATAACAACTAAGATCTCCAGTCCCTTTAAGGCCTTGGGATATCTGATAAGATTCTCAAAAAATGTTTCTAACATATATACGATGATCTTATTGTTATTGTCTTATTGTCTCTAGTCCTATCAAAAAAGGAATATGCCAACCTAGGATGGGACCCAATTTATAAAAAATATGCAGATGATATTGAACATATACAAAAACGCTTTTTGAAGTACCTGTCCTTCAGGGTCGATGGAGGATACCCCCTGCAAGGATCTGACTATTTAGCGTTGTGTGAAAGGTTTGGTTTTGTTACCCTTGAGAAACGAAGAATCATAACTGCAACTATGTTTATTTTCAAAGTCCTTAATTCCCAAATAGATGCTCCATCGCTCCTAAATTTGGTAAATTTTGGAGTACCAACATCATTCTCTGGCTCAACAATACAATGTATTCACTACTATGAATCCAAATCTGGACCTATTTAATAGCACCCAAAATGAATTTGTGTCAACGATTAAAGATTATGTTATGAAACTTCGAACACAACAATAAATATGTAAAATTATTATACTCTATTAACTATGTATATAGAAACCCATTTATGGTCCCCATGGACTGCGGGTAAAAATGTAAATAAATAAATAGATTATGAAATTTCCTTGTTTTCTGTTCCAAGACTTAAACTTTTCAAGAAACCTTTCTGGCCGTTTTGGTTTAAAAAAATAGTCGATTTTTACTAAGAAATTTAACGCCGCCATTTTGTTATAAAATTTTAAATAAAAATTTTTTTCTACACTTCAAAATGTATTTACCAACCCTTCTCAAAAAGAAATCCTATTCCTTTTTTATTTTCCCGAAACAAATCATCAAAAATTGGTCTCTATTTCTGCCTCTAGAGTGGTGTTACCCCTTAATTTATTTGCGCTTAATAATTAATAAACTCCTTTTTCATTAATATACTACCAGTCAAAATTGAGAGACCACCCATTTTCAGGTGAATGAAAAACATTTTAAAACATAAAATTTATGGAAACTAAAATATTTTTCTGTTTATTTTTTGAAAGATGATTGAATTTTAAAAAGAGCAAGATCTTCAGAAGATTTTGAATGTTTTACAAAAATGTGAATAACTTCTAAACTAATGAACTCTTTTCAATGATCTTAGACTTATTTTAAAGGTCATTATCTACAGAATGAGAATTATTTATAGACATTTTTTCTTAGAAAATGCAGGTCGTCAAAGTTAGACAAAACAAATTCAAGAATTTTGAAATCATTTTTTTGTACTAAATACTATATTCTAGAAAATATATAAAACATACGGTTATTCAAATTTTTGTAAAACATTGAAAATGACGATTTTTTAAAAATATCTAAATAAAATATTGGCCAAATGACTTCTGAAAAATCTTGTTCTTTTCAAAATTTTATCATCTTTCAAAAAATAAAAAGAATAAAATTTTAGTTTCCATAAGTTTTACGTTTTAAAATGTTTTTCAATTTTGACCGGTAATGTATTATTTTTGCAACAAAAACGCACCTTTGAATTGACGTGAGGGATTTTTCCTCACTTTTAATTATTTGATCGATCCGGAAAAATGAGCGACCTTACGGTATTTTCACCGTAGGTGGCGCCTGTTCTCGGCCACTTACCGGTAAAGCTAAGCAATTTTCCATATTAATTACATGAAGTGCTGTGTGGTGCGCATACGCGATTCGTGCGAATATGACTTCGCTCAGTGCGTAGATATAAGCGGATCACCGAACTATGTACTTCGACAACCGTACCCGACCTCTCATTGCCTGGAGGGGGAGGTACCGGTTCGAGCTAAGAAATAAAAGCAAACTTGAAATCACACAAGCTAGCTTAATTTTTCTCCTATACCCATTTTCCTATCTTCCATGCTACGAGCCTCGACTAGCAGCTAGACGGAGAAGGAAGGAAGGATGGAAGCTATTCCCCAGCCGCCTTGGGTCCCCCACCGCCTGCCAATTCTCTCCTAACCACGATGTCAGCTCAAAGGCCCCCATCGTCCGCCTCACTGTCACGTACCCCCCCCCCCCCGCTCAACGACGATACCAAAATTTAACCTACATCGCCGCACCGAGGGTTGCATTGGTTCCCCATGCAGTTCCCCATAAGGGTTAAATTTTCATTCCCCTAAATTCTCGCGGGTCAACCGGCCACTCTTAAAATACTAAAAATTCAATCTACCCTTTTAAAAGTTTCGCAGCACTCTTCTGTGAACAAATTTGACGAGAAATTCCCTACCCGTAAAAAAGGGAAATTCGCCCATGTCAGAATGAAAAATATTAATTAACGTCCTAGGGCGTTAAAAGGTTAAATAATATTAAACGTCTATAAGGAAAAAATAATTGAAAAAGTTTTTTGGACGGAAAAAGAATTTATTTAATTAAAAATTTTACCACTGTTTAGCATCAAATACAATCTTTGTTTTACATTTTTTTCCTACAACTGTTAAAAATACGAAGCCAACCCAGGTGAGAAAAATTCGTACGATTTCCATTCTAAATTTTATTCAGAATTCGTACGCATTTCACACGTTACGTCTATTAAATTGCGTAAAATCTGGAAAAAAAAATTTCATTTATAATTCGTACGAAAAAACGTTTCAAAAAGTCACAAAAAATTTGATAGATATTTCGTGCGATTCGCAAAAATTCTGAACAAAATTCCGAAAGAAAATCAAATCGTAGAAATTATTTTCACCTAGGAAATATATCTATACTAGTCTTGATAGTTGATAATTAGATTTTAAAAAATAAATTATAAAATATTAATCTTACATTATTTAAAAAATTTAATTAACAAAGATTTTATTACAAAGAATTAACACAATAGTATTCATTGTGATAATGTTATTACGACACAATTTTTTCATTTTAATTATTTAATTACACTTGGTTCACAAGAAATATTATTTAAAATTTAGTTTGCATGTAAAATCTATTTATTACAATTCTTTTATAATTAATCTTTTAAATTTTTTTGTTTCATGATTCTTTAAACTTTTCTAAAAATGGGCTTTACATTTAATTGAACATTACAATTCAGAGTTGTACTAATCTTCATTTTTTAATATTTGCAAAATTTCTTAAAGGCAGCCTTAACTCATAAGAAGATAGACTTTTACTTTAAGAACTTTACGTCATGTGGTGTAAACACACTCATTGAAATCAGAATGATTCTTTATAAAAAAAAGCATAAAATATTTAAAAACTTATAATACGTAAGTTTTTTCTTTCATCAACTCGTTATACTTAAAGCTACGTTTCAGAATATATCTTAAAATATACCTTAACTGCAGATAAAAGAAATACACTTATATTGTATGTAAGTTAAAATTACAATAATATAAGAATTATATTACTATAGGAATAATTGTACCAGACGCTTATGCAGAAGAGCGTAAAAGGAAATTTAGTTTACAACCTTTTTGTATGAATTTACATACAACACCAGAATAAACAAATTTTAAAATCTGATTATAATCTTTAAAGAGACAGGGGAAATTTATATTTTACCCGTTACTGTTTCTTTGTGTTTTTGTTTTTTTGTTTTTATGTTTTTTTTACATAATATTGATTATTTACATATCATTTACGCTTATGCTACAGAAAGTAGAAAAATATTTTCCATTTGGCATTTATAGAAAATAGAAAATTGCTAATCACTAGCAAAATACACATATTTCAATCCACTGTTATTTTCTTCCTTCTACGTTTTCCTGCAATGCGACATTCTTGAGCTGTAGTTTTGTAGTAACATTTTTCTGAATCAAGGCCTTACGTTTGATTAAGTTTGCTTAATGGTAAATGTCTTGAGACTTAAGAAAACTTTCAACTCATATATTACAATTAAACAAACATTCAACCTCAACTAATTGACATTAATATAAAAGAAGACAAAAAAATTATCGATATCGTTATTACATTTTCTTCCATGATTTATAAACAATTTACAATCATTTTAAGTTATACACTGTAAAAAATTCTTTTTCAAGTGTCAATAGCAAATATTAACTTTATAAGAGCTAAATATAGCGCAGCTCCTGCAAAAATTATATATTTCATTCAAAATTAATGAAATATGAACTGATAAATTTTTAAACTCATACTTCTCTCCTAGTAACATTTTACACATTTACATGCAAATTTTAGACGGATTTTTTACAGTGTAAATTTATAAAATTCAGAAAAAATACATAATTGAGAAACGTTCTATCTACAATAAATAACATTACACTAAAAATGTGTATCTCAAAAAAAAGACGAACAATTTCACCACAAAATGTATTATTATTTAAAAAATAAATGAAATTACTTTAATGTACAATGAGCATGAAATTATAATAGAAAAATAAAGTAAAAATTGTCAACAACATTTACAAAAAAATGAAATTGCTTTTACTGTATTTACACAAACTTTCTTTCAAAACAAACGTTTCATAAATGATAAAAAGATTTTTTTTTTTATATTTTATGTAGAATATTTTTAAATGGGACTATGTCCCGTTAACGAAATACTTTTAAAAAATTACTTCAAATTCTAAAAAATTATCTCTGCATTGATTTTTGAAGCATTGTTTATTATAATATTTTAATGACTCTAAAGATTGGACAATTTGAAAAATATTAAATCGCGAGAAAAATATATTATACAAAAATTATATATCTTTAGGGTATGAAACATCATTTATTTTAAACATAATTGAAAAATCGTCTTTCAAGTTGAAACGAAAATTATATCTCTTCAATGTAATCAGCAGCAACGTTCATTGAGAATTTTGTCACCTTTTTATCAAGCACATCGTCAAGCTGAAACAAATTGATTTTAATAAATATAGGTTGTCACGCTTTTGATCATTTCAAATTCCCTGACTTTTACAGGTTCTCCTAGTTAAAAAACGTAATTTTTCCAGGTTTTTAAAACTACATTTGTTGCCAAACAAAAATTTTACTTTGTTTTTCCCTGTCTTTCTCTTGAATTCCAGACAAAATTCTTACTTCTCCTTGAGTCTAAAGAATATTCTCATTCAGTTTAAAAATTATTACTCAGAAAAAGGTTCTATTGCAATTTTTTTAAATAAATATTTAATCATTATTATTTTTCTATAGAAATTAAAATTTTACAAAACATTCGAATTCAAAACTTTTTTCAAATTAAAGAATTTAAAAAAAAATATTATAAAACATGACCTACTGATCAAATCATTATTTTATATTATAAGAATCTTGTTATTGTAACTTCATAAAAATTATTTTCATTTCAATTTAATTATTTTTAATAGAATGTAAAGAAATTTGAATTATTTAAAAAGTTTTCAATTATTTGTCTATAAAAATTCAATTATCTTGAAACAATAGAATAGGAACATTTCAAAAATCTTATTTTTCAGATTTTTCAAAAAAAACTTTGCGATAATTTAATGTTATTAAAAAATTGTAAGTGTGTATCTTTTTTTAAATTAACTAATAAAAATTTTAATTATTAATCTTCGCACTAAGAAACATGAATACATTAGAATGTGACTCTTTATAAAATTCAATTATTTATAAATTATTAAATTAAAATACTTTGAAAATTCGATTTGTTAAAAAGTTTTTAATGAAATTCTTTAACAAATTTAATTATTTTCAGTTGAATTTTACCAATATTTGAATCAGTGACTAATTTTTTAATATCAAATAAATTATTTTTAACTAATTGAAATTTAGAGAACAGTATAAATATCTATAAAAATTGAAATAAAAAGCGATTTTTTAAAAACAAATTAAAATAATAAAACTTTTTTTAATTTGGTGAAAAAATTCCCGGTTTAGCATAAAATTCCTGGCTTATTCCCGGTCAAATTAAATTCGCGGCTATTTCCCGGTTTTCCCGGTTAGTAGACACCCTAAAAAATAACAAACTTGAAAATGAAAGTGAAAGTGAAAGAATTGAAATTGAGGGCTTACAAGAAATAAGGGGAGACGTGCCATTTCCTTAGCGCGAATTCCCTTATTGTATATGGGGCATTCCAGGCCAAATCGGAAATTATTTTGCTTTTGCATCTCAAATTTTTTTAAAACATTTTTTTTCTTTTAGTACTCTTTGAAATGAGCTACCTTGATTTTTTCAAATTTTTTCATAAAGCGGTTCAGGAGATACAGATTTTTGAAAAATTACGTTTTTTAAAATATTTTTAAAAAATTTAAAAATAATTTACGATAAGATTTTAAAATTTTTTAAATAAAATTTCATTTTTAACAATGTATGTGTCGATCAATTTTTTTCAAAATTTTTTGTAAGAAACTAGCACTAAATTAACAATTTTTAAGCCTTGTCTGATCGTGGAAACTCCGTCTGAAAACACATTTGCTTTGAAAAATTTGTGTGATTTTGTCAAATGGCAAGTTAGTCATTTGGCCACCACTGCGTGTATAAATATTCAAATTTCAAAATAAATAGATCCCATCGTTTGCCCACAATCTGACAAGACTTAAAAATGGTTAATTTAGTGCTAGTTTCTTACAAAAAATTTTGAAAAATATTGATTGATACATACATTGTTAAAAATAAAATTTTATTTAAAAAATTTTTAAATCTTATCGTAAATTACTTAAAAATTTTTTTAAAAATATTTTTATTAAAAACTACGCGTGAAAACAAAACTTTTCATTATAAAAACGTCCAATTTGATCAATTTTTGACCGAGTTATAAGCATTTAAAAAAAAATTTACGTAAAAAACGTCATTTTTCAAAAATCTGTATCTCCTGAACCGCTTTATGACAAAATTTGAAAAAAATCAAGGTAGCTCATTTCAAAGAGTCCTAAAAGAAAAAAATGTTTAAAAAAAATTTGAGATGCAAAAGCAAAATAATTTCCGATTTGGCCTGGAATGCCCCATATGTAAACCCTTAATAATAATCGATTTCCAAAGTTCCGACACAAATAAATTCATATAATCAAAGTTCCACTGTAATTAAAAAAATGTTTTTCAAGGAGTCCAAAGTTTAATTTTTCATAAAAAAATTATTTTTATAATTCAATACTTACAAATGACTTCCCACTAATTATTTCTTCAATCTCTTCACTTATATCATCGCTCTTCAGAACTTCTTCATTATAAAGAGTGTCTTCTCCTTTACTTGGTGATTTTAAAGACAAGTTAGATTTACTTGGCTCTTTAGAAGGGCTCTGTTCATTAGCACTTCCAGAAGCAGATGATATAAAATCTTCATCATAATTATCAGCCACATCAGTTGCTACAAATATTTGATAAAAATATCAATAAATCAGTGGTTTATAAAGAAAGATTACAATAATTTTAGTTAGATAACTGACCGCAGACTCACCAATTTGCATTAACTGCTTCAAATCACTGATATTAGTCTTTTTACAATTTAATGGCGGTAGATCGCTAAATATAGAATTCGATTGAGAAATTAGTGGCGGTAATTCCCCTAATAAAGAGTCGGATTTATTTAGTAACACATCAACCTTTTCAACTCTGCCATCAATAATTATTTCGTCAAAATATACACTTTTCTCAAAAGGTTTTTCTATAAGGATTTTCTTTTTATTTTGTACATTATTTTCTATTACACTTAAAGTTTCTTGTTTAGAGGTATTATCAGTTTGAATTGTTTGCACCTCTTTTAATGAAGGTTCCTTACTGATTTTCATTTCTTCCGTGAAATTAATTTCATCTAACTTTTGTCTATCCTCGTGTAATAATTTTTCCGAGGCGTCCGCTTTCTTTTTCTCACTCACTGAGGTTTTAGTTAATAATTTACAATTCTCCTCACTGTCAATTTCGTTGTATGCTGATGTTTCAAGTGCATTTATGCTTTCGGTATTGGAAATGTTACTGCTTAGGCTACTACCTCGTATGGTATTGGAATTTTTTTCACTCTTTTTCTTATCTGTTATTGTCACATTTAATGGAAATTGTGATAAATTATTTTCAACTTTTTCCGATATGTTCGTATCGTTGCATTCGAGCGAGGAACTATTTTTTAATAATTTTGGAATACTAACTTCAAATGTTGCATTATTTAAACGAGTTGGAGTTACATCTAATTCGTCTAATCCATTACTGTCATTCTATAACAAAATTCATTTCATTATATTATGTTTATTTTTGCAAAATTTTATTTCACTTTTCTGTAATTAGATATACATGGTAAAGATATTTATCATTCAAAAATGTGATAAAACAAACTCCGACGAGTTTGATTACTTCTCTCGCTTTGCTCGAGCAGTAAACTTCAAACTCATCGGAAAACAGCTTCTTTCCGTACTTGGTGCACAATGTACTATTTTTTTAAGATTAAGGACTTCGGGGAGAAAATGGTGGTTTTGAAGAATACATCTCTCATTTAAAAAGAAAATAATATTTTGGGTTGGGATTTTTTGGAAATAATAAAGGAAAGTGCCCTGACTGAGTCTCTTCTTGGTATTTTGCATGATTTTTATAAATAATTGTTTAAATATTCGGTTTATACCGAAAATGTCTTTCATAGAATACATTTCTTCTTTTTAATAAAATATTTGGGGGTTAAATTCTTTGAAATGATAGAAAAGAGTATTCTGACGGAGCCAATAAAAAAATTTTTTCTATTTTTTTGGGTAAATTTTAAACCAATGTAGTTTTTTCACAAGTGATCACACAAATATTTCGTGCAATGCAATCGAACGCCCGTTTTGTCACCTTTTAAATGCTTTTTTTAATTAATTTTTAAGAAAGTTATCGTTATTTTTAATTTTTAATTTTTAAATTGTTTATAATTTCAAGCTTTTTTAAACAAGTTTTTTACCACACTTTGACCTCACATTTTAAATCATATTTACACGACGCAGGCCTCGGATCGACTTTAACGAACAAAAAAAGTCGCTTTAGTCGATTATTTAATTTAGTGTTGTCACAAATATTTTATTTTCTATTTCCCTGATTCTTCACTAATTTCTAAATTCAATTAATCAAAACTTGTATAATTTTGCTAAATAAAATATTTAAATACTTCTTATTTCTTTTTTCACCAGGAAATAAAATTTAAAAAATTTCAAATTCTGAAATTTAATAATTTAATTATTTTCTACAATTTTTAACTATACTTCATTTCTAAATCAATTATCTGTATTACTTTTTAATATTTTTCCGAAAGTTCTTCAAGAATCCAATTATTTAAATACAAAAATTCAATTTTTATAATAATTGAAATCGTTCATTTTTCTTTTTAAAGATATTAAGGTAGAATATATTCAAAAAATTTTAATAAATAAATTCGTAAAATTAACTTTTTAAAAATATTTCTAAATAATTTTTGAAAGACGCAATAGTTTTACAATTACATAACAATAAAATTTTTTTTTTTTAAAATTGAAATTTGGTAAAATCTTTTTAAAAAATAATTTAAATTTAGTAAAATCTTTGATAAATAATTTAAATTTGCAATGAATTTTAATTAAATTCCTTAAAATAATTAAATTTGGCAAAAGTTTTAATAAAATTTCTGAAAATAATTGAATTTTGCAAAGAGTTTTATTAAAATTATAGATGAATTAGAATATTAATAAAATTCCAGAAAAAAATTGAATCTTGCAAAGAGTTTTATTAAAATTAATGAAAATAATTGAATTTTTCAATAAATTTTTTAAAAATTCCTGAAAACTGGATTTAGACATAAATTTTATTAAAATTCATGAAAATAATTGAATTTTGCAACGAATTTTGATAAAATTCCCTAAAATAATTAAATTTTTCAAAGAAATTTATTAAGCGAATAAGTAATTGAGTTTTTAAAAAATATTTTAAAAATAATAAAATTTTTGATGAATTTTAATTATAAATAATTTCTCAAAAATTCTAAAATAGTAAATTTAAAAAAATTTTAAATTAATATTATATAATATAATTATATAATTATAATATTATATAATAATAATAATAATAATATAATAATAATATAATATAATAATAATATTATATAATATTATATAATTATTATATTATATAATTATTATTATATTATTTAATTGTCAGAGAATTACTTTTTTCAAAACTATTTTAATATTTTCATTTTTTAGCGAATTTACACTTGAAGATTATTCATTAAAATTTTTAAAAATTCAATTATTTCCAAAATTCTCAATAAAATTCTATAATAGTTAATTTTTAAAAATTATAATAAAATACTTGAAAAAAAGGATTTATTTTCAATTAATTTTACTAAATTTCAATTATTCAAAATCTTTTTAATTGTATATTTCAAAAATTTAATTAGAAAAAATTTTCAAAAATAATTTTTGAAAGATTTATCTACAGCTATTTTTTATACTGCGCGTAAAAATCGAAAAAAGTTGCAGCATTTTATACTAAAAATATGGTATTTTGTCGCAAAATTTGGAAGAAAAGTCGAAAAAGTCGCAATTTTTTAATATAAGTCGAAAAAAGTCGCATTATTTGAAAATAGTCGAAAAAAGTCGAAAAACCATAATATCCGAGGACTGACGACGTATAAACATGTTAGAAAAAAATTTGTTTAAAAAAAGCTTTTAACATTTTTTTTCTAATTCTATATATATGGGCAATTCCACGTGAGATTTCAGTCGACCTGTTAAAATCGGTCAAACATATTTTTTTTATATTCTGTATCGAAAAAAAACAGATACGTATTTTTTTATTTTTGTTTAATTGTAAAAATTTTCGAAATTTTGGACTTGTAATTGTAGATCTATATTCAGTAGCTTATAAGCCCAAAAATATTGAGTTTAGCAAAAAGTTGTCAAAGAATGAAAGTTTTAGTTTTCTTTCGACTTTTAAAAAATGTAAAAAAATTTTTTTTATAAACAAATTAATTTTTTTTTAACTTTGGGCCGGATTTTTTTTTATTCTTTTTTAATTTATTTTTACCTTATAATATAGAGAAGATTTTCCAAAAAGTCCCGAAATGGGCCTGATGTGTTAAATGATTTTTAAAACATTTTGGTTGAAAAAAATTATTTAAACAATTGAATATTTTAAAGCTTGCATGCAAGGATATCTTGAAAAATTATTGTTTATTTACAACTTTTTATCTCATTGAGCTAAAGAGTTGCGATTTTTTCTCAATTTTGCAACTTTTAGGCCGAATGTAACCAGTCACTATCAACTAACTAAGAATATAAATTTTACCAATTGTTTAAACAAATTACTATTGTTTAACTTCCACTTTTTATCCAATTTAGCTGCAGAGACGCAATTTTTTTCTCAATTTTGCATTTTTCCAAGCCAAATGTAACTAAGTGACTAACAACAATCTAAGAATTACAATTTTACCAATTGTTTAAACAAATTGTTATTTTAAATTTGAAGCTATCGCAGTAGTAATTTCAATGATGTAAATAAAATTTTTTGTACTTAACATTTTTATAATAATAAATATATTGTTCACAATTTTTAATCGATAATTAAGTCTTACATTAAATCTTACCTCACAAAAAAAATAAAATGTACAAATGAGAAACAGTTGCAACTCTGTAGCTCATTTTGATAAAAATTAAAGTTAAACAATAGTAATTTATTTAAACAATTAATAAAATTATTATTCTTAGTTTGTTCTCAGTAACTGGTTACATTCGTCCTGAAAAGTTGCAAAATTGAGAAAAAATCGCAACTCTTCAGCTCAATTAGATAAAAAGTTGTAAATAAACAATAATAATTTGTTTAAACAAATTAGCAATTGCATGGAATAATGTTTAAAAATCAATGTTTGTGTTATTAAACTCTTAAACCGACAATTGTTTTTAATATTTTGAATTACAAAGAATTTAAATCTAATAATATTTTTTGAATTGTCCTACCTTTTGTGAAGTTATAAAGGCACCATTGATATTATTTTTTAATATTTCTCCAAGCAATGGTTCAGTGGAGCTTATGCCCAACTCTTCGCATAATTTTTTTCTTCCTACATAATTATACTCTTTTCCAAAATAAGTTTCTGGATCGTATACAGATATAGTGTAATCTAATCCAAAATACTCAAGAAATTCTCTGACCAAAGAAAATAATAATTTTCCTTCGGAACTTTGCAGGTACTGTTTTACAGTTTTGTTAAGTAGAGGTTCAGGAATCTAGAAAAAAATAGCATTTATATCAAGATATTTTTCTATCATTTTTGTATTTCTTTTTTTGTAGTCAATAATTTTTTATAAAAAGGTTTTTTTTTATATAGACATGTGACGCTCCACGATTTCCCAGTGAAAGATGCCCAAAATATTGTAAACTATGGTTATTCATCTTTAACTGATAATACCCAGAAGATAATAAGATAATAACCCCCTTTAAAGTAACGGTGTAAAAATCCACTAACAATTTTTTATTTTATATACTGGACCAAGTAAATGTTTTTTATTTATCTTTCACATTTAATATTAATTATAGTTAATATGAAGTAAAAATATATTCTGTAATATAAATAAACACCCAGTAATAAGGAGTGGATTAAAGTGGATTGGCACTTTTTGCCCTTAAGTTCCAAACCAATTCTGCCTTTGTCCGCAATCATAATGAATTCCTTTTACTATTGTTAAGTTGTTCACTTCTATCCAATTTAATTTCTGGATAGATTTACGTTAACTTGGGGGGTATATTAATTAATATATTATATATTAATTATATATAACAGGCATCACAGTATCTTTTTTTCTCAAAAAAGGTGAAAAGGTGAATTTTCTTCCTCAAAAAGGGGACAAAAAGGGGCCAACAATTTATTTGTTTACGCAACTTGCATTTATAATTCAAATTTTTTATCATATAGCTTCTATAAATTTTTTTAAAAATGATTCGATTTAAATTAGAGTTACCACAAAAATTTAATTTTGTTTTTCTCTGACTTTTTCCTTCGCAATCAAGCGAGCGAAAATCGTTTTTCTCCACGAATGGTACACGTTACTTTGTCCAAAAACTGCAAAACATATTTTATTTATCTTGATTTTAATTTATGAGGTTTTTGCGGTTATAACAATATTTAGTTATTAATGTTTCAAAATTTGTAATCCCCTGTATTTTTTATTCGTTAATAAGAAAATGTTACATTTTTAATAATTAAAAGGAAAAAAACTCTTTATGTTTTGTTAATAGTTTTGTTACGTAAGTCATCCTTTATAAAAAAAAAAAAAAAAAATTCGAATAATTTCAATTAAACTTTTTGAAAAAATTTATTCTACAGAATTTAAAAAAAAAAAAAAACTTAAAAACTTCGAATAATTTCATTTAAACTTTTTGAAAAAATTTATTCTACAGAATTGTTAGTTAAAAATATAAAAAATAATTCAGATTTTCAAAGATTTCAATTCGAAACTTTTTTAAAATTCAATTATTTCTAAAAATTCACGCTACAATGCTTTTAATATTCAATTCTTATGTAAAATTTGAATTGAAATTCATTTTTAAATCAATTTTTATTAGAAAATTCTACGAGAATTTAATTATTTAAATACAAAAATAAATAATTTATATTGAATAATTGAATGTTTCTCAATATTGAATTCTCATAAAGAATTTTATTGATAAATTTTTAAATAATTAAATTCTTTTGACGAATTTAAATAAAATTTTTTAAAATAATGACATTTATCGAGGTATTCGATTAAAATTGTACTAAAAATAATTGAAATTCTGCGATGAGTTTGATTATTTATGAAAATAATGTAATTATTGCAAAGAAATTTATAACAAATTTGTAAATAATAGAATTCCTGTGAAATTATTTTATTATTTTTTTTTTTTTTAAATAATTGAATTCTTTTGGAAAAGTTTATTAAAATAGTAGATGTTGAATATAATTGAATTTAGGAATATTTTTACAAGTAATTGAAATTTTGCCAAGAATTTTATTAAAATTTTTGAAAATAATTGAATTTCGAAGAAGAATTTTATTATTTATAAAGAGAATTGAAATTCTGACGAGAATTTCTTTAAATTTTTTAATATAATTGAATTTCTGCGAAGAATTTTATTACTTTTGAAAATAATTGAATTTTTGCAATCATTTGAAACTTCTCCAAAATTCAAATTTTTTTAGTGTTTTTAACTAAAATTCCTCGTTAATTTCTTTATTTTTAATAATTAATTAAATACATATGTATATTAAAAAATTTAACTAATTTCAGAATAATTTAAATTTTGAAAATTTTTTCAAAAATTTAAGTTCTTTAGAATTTCTAAAATGAAATTCATTAATAATTGATATTTTGTAAAATTTGAAATTAAAATCTTTTGAAGTTCATCTATTTATGAAAATTGTAAACGCAACTCTTTTAAAATTGAATTAATTTTGAAATATTTAAGTAAAATTATTCATTAAATAATTTCTACGTATAATAATTTTATGATAATTGCTCAAGAATTAAGTCATTTAAAAAGAAATTATTATCAGAAATGGAAAAAATTGTAGGTTTTGTATTAGAATTTTTGATTTTCTAGAAAAAACTATTAATAACAATATTTTAATTATTTGAATGTTAATTAATTATTTTTCTAGAGGTCTGCATTCTGTTGAATGAACCACCTTATATTTTATAAAGTTCTTTACGTTATATTATTTAAATCATTAATATAAAAAAAATATTTATATTATGTTGGTGTTAATAATCTAAATCAAAAATAAAACACCGTGAATTCTGTAACATTGAGTCTAAATTTTATGATTACACTTTGAAAAATATTTCAAAAAAAGAAAAACTTGTTTATTTTTGATTAGAAAAAGGTGAAAAAGGGGGAAAAAAAAAGGGAAAAAGGTGACAAATAGTCAAAAAAAGGTGATAAAATTGAAATAAGGGGACAAAAGGGGAAAAGGGGACCAACTTTGATCAGGGTGACAAGCAAGCATTGAGAAAAAATTCCCTGACTTTTTACTAACTTTATTTCTGCTTTCTTGGGACAATAATATGGTAACTAACATATTTAGCAAAAAATTAATATCAAATGAAAGTAACAAATATTAATAAAGACCATTTAAGTCCATGTAAGTCATCTAAAATTTATTTTTCTTTTCAAATATTGATCATTATTTCTAATATTAAAAATCATATTAATACATGAATCGAATACGTTATTTATATAAATAGTTAAAAAAAATTTGTACTAATTCAACTTTGAACTTACCATAACAGACTCCTGTTCTTCAAGAGCCAAAAACACACTTGCTCGTAGCTCAGCCTGAAATAAATTATTCTTCAACTTCTAATCACTTCTCTTAAGAATAGTTGTTTACTCTTTTTGGAATTACTGACAAAATTAAGTTCAAAAAATTTTGTTCAGTACTTTGTTATAAATAAAAAATGTTATTTTAAAATTTGTACACAAATCGTAATTTAATGTTATGTACTTGTATATGAATACCGATAAATTATTATAATGAAAAATCAAACTCCCAAATGTGAAAGTTATAAGTAAATCTAATATTTAAAGTATATGAATATTATAGTTGAAAGAAAGACTGTATGCATATAAATGATATTCTACTTACTCGAACTTTTGCAAGTACTCCATTGTTCTCAAGAGTCTGAACAACCAAATCTCGCAATTCAGTGTCCTCCTCCATAGAAATATTACCGTCGACCATTGTATTTTCCAATATTACATAAAACAAAAGTATAGGTACACGTTAAAAGTAATCAAAAACATAAACATTTACTACACCATGGCGGTTTTTCTTTTAGTGAATTTGTTGGTTGGATTGGATTTCCGCCGTTTCACTTGTCAGGGCAATGAATGTAAACACGAAGTAAGTTTCATGAAATTTATGAAATATACACGTAACTGTCAAATATCATGGCGGGAAAATTTAAATTATGTAATTTCACGTTCCTGTTGTCATGGAAACACGTATAAAGGTGCGTTCATACCTGCGCAGGTAACAGCTGAGTCAAAGCGTAAATGCATGAGAGTGAAAGAAACAACCTCATATCACTATCTCTTTCACTCACATGCTTTAACGCCGACATGGGAAATCTAATTTTTTCTTAAATATTTCAAAATTAATTCAATTTTAAAAGAATTGCGTTTACAATTTTTCTTCGCAATAATTCAATTATTATTTTCATAAATAAATAAAAAAAACTTTATAGATTTACAATTATTTTCATAAATAATAAAACTCATCGTAGAATTTCAATTATTTCTAATACAATTCGCGAACGTGACGAATGAGATAGAAAAAGATACAAATATATTTCTGTCCTTTTCTAACTCATGTTTTGTATTCGCGAATAACGTTCGAGAAACAGTTGTGCTTAGGCCTTTAACCGCAATACGATAACGATTGCGGTTCCGGTTAAAGTTTCTATTTTGCGTTGGCCTAGGAAGTGTAAATGCACCCTTCAGAAAGAAGCTAGTAGCGCCATGTCAATAAAACGAAACTTGTGGTTACATCATCTAAACGACATATTTCTCTCAAGATAAAAGAGTTATTCTACAGATACCTGTTGTAACGTGCATGCTCCTTTGTCTAAATGTTTTCAAATACTTGCTGCCAACTCTATGTCGGTGTGGTCGGTGTTAACAATTATTTTTGCGATTTCTGCTTATTTTTATTATAGCGAAAATTGAAACATTCTGTTCCACAGGCAAATGTAAATAGAGAACATTTCTGCTGTGCGATGTAAATAATGTAGAAATACCAAATTTATATTTTTCACGAATATTTTTCAAGCAGAAAATCCACTTCCCTTTTTACTTTTATAAAAGGTTAGAATTTGTTATTATGACTGGTATACTTTAAAAATTTATTTTCAAAAAAGTGCACAATAATATGTCAATTTATTTACTTCACAGAATTCAGGACTTCTCGGTCATTCATGAAATTATAAACAACTTGAATAACAAACATTAAATGTACAATTTAAAGGTAAGAGAAATACGTATTAACTGTGATTACTTACAAAACTTTATTTAAAGTTAAAATACCAGGTTTATCATAATTATTTTCTATTTCTTCAAATAAATGTACTTTTATTTTCTTAAACATTGTATTTTTTTAAGTTAACAACATGACTTGTTGATTATATCTGTGCCGACAGACAGTTAACCTCAAAAACATTATATTTGTCATTTATTTTTCTTGAAATTTGTAAAACAAAATTATTATTTGACATTTTTTGTTTTAAACAAACAAATTACTTCTAAAGCATTGTCATCAAAAGAATTCATATGCAAAGTAATTCTTTCAAATAATACAGGGTTGCCAAAGGTCAGGGGAGTCAGGGAAATCAGAGAAAAGTTGTTTGCCTCATAAACTATGAAATTACTACGAATTCTAATACAAAACCTTCAATTTTTTTTATTTCTGACAATAATTTCTTTTTAAATAACTTAATTCTTGAAGAACTATCATAAAATTATTACTTAGAAATTATTTAATGAATAATTTTACTTAAAAATTTCAAAATTAACTTGATTTCAAAAGAGTTGCGTTTACAATCTTCATAAATAGATGAACTTCAAAGGTTTTAATTTGAAATTTTAGAAAATTTCAATTTTTAAAGAATATAAATAGAAATTTTAAGAACAACTGATTACAGAAATTCAATTATTTTCAAAAGTGATAAACTTTTTCGCATAAATTCAATTATGTTCAAAAATTAAAAAAAATTCTCGTTAAAATTTTAATTATCTTTATAATAAGTAATAAAATTCTTCTCCGAAATTCGATTATTTTCAAAAATTTTTCTCATTTTAATTATTTACAATGTCTGCTACTTTATTAGAACTTTCCAAAAGAATTTAATTATTTTTAAACAAAATATTAATAAAAACTTTACAGGAATTCAACTTTTTATAAATTTCTTCGAACCAATTCAATTATTTTTAATTTTTCAATGAAGTTTCTCGAAAGAATTCAATTATATTCAGAGAATTTAAGAAAATAGCTCTAAGAAATTCAAATATTTTAAAAAATTTAAATACAATTCTTTAAAAAATTCTACTATTTAAAAATATTTTTAAAACATTCTCTACAAGATTGAGTTAAAAAAATTGCAATTTTAATAAAACTCAATTATTTTTACAAATAGCAAATTTTCTATAGGAATTCAATTATTTAAAAATATTTGAATAAAATTCTTCGCAAGAAATCAATTATTTCCATAAATAATAAAATTTTCTCGGGAATTCAATTATTTTTAAAAATTTGATAAAATGCTTTATAAATTTAAAAATATATAATAAAATTGATCATAGAATACAATTATTATTGTCAAAAATGTATGTAAAAATCTTCGAAACAATTAAATTATTTTGGTAAAAACTAAAATTCTTCCCAAGAATTCAATTATTTTCAAAAATAAAATTTTTCACAGGAATTCAGTTATTTAAAAAAAATTTAATAAAATTCTTCGTCAGATTTCAATTATTTTCAATTTTTCAATCAAATTTCTCGAAAGAATTCAATTATTTTCATAAAATTTTAAAAAATTTTGAGAAATTCAATTATTTAAAACAATATTATAATACAATTCTTTATAATAAATAAATTATTTTCATAAATAATAATATTTTTCTCCGGAGTTCAATTATTTTCACAAATAAAATTCTTCACAGGAATTAAATTCTTTAAAAATATTTTTAATAAAATTCGTTGCAAGAATTCAATTATTTTCATAAATAACAAAACTTATCGCAGAATTTAAATTATTTTTTATACAATTTTAAATAAAATGATAGAAAATTATAATTGAATATTAAAGGCATTAGAGCGTGAATTTTTCGAAATAATTGAATTTTGAAAAGGTTTCAAATTAAAATCTTTGAAAATCTGAATTTTTTCATATTTTTAACTAACAATTCTGGGTAATTAATTTTTTTCAGAAAGTTTAATTGCGGATTTTTTTCTTTTGAAATTATTTCAAGTTTTTTTTTCTAATATATATTTAATTCAAGAATTTACGAATAATTTAAATTTTGTAAAATTGAATTGTAAACAAATGAATTTGAAAATTCTCAACGAACTTTTTCAAAAATTATTAAAAAAATAATGCATTTATAGAAGAATTTTAGTTTAAAAACACGAAAAAAAATTTAATTTTTGAAAAGTTACAAATTATTGCAGAAATTCAATTATTTTCAAGAGTAATAATATTCTTTTCAAAAATTAAATATTGTTCGAAAATAATAAAATTCTTCTTAGAGATTCAATTATTTTCACAAATTATAAAACTCACATCGCCGAATTTCAATTATTTTTAATACAATTTTTATCAAATTTTGGGAAAAATATAATTATTCTTAAAAATTTTATTGACATTCGTCGAAAGTATTCAAGTATTTAAAAATTTGTTTATAAAATTCTTTATGGAAATCGAAGTTTGAGAAACATTCAATTATTCAATAAATTATTTTTTTGTATTTAAATAATTGAATTCTAGTAGAATTTTCCCATAAAAATTGATTTAAAAATGAATTTCTTTTCAAATTTTAGATTGTCAAAGGACTTTTTCGAAAATTATTAAAAATAATCGATTTAAAGAAGAATTTTAATTGAAAATTCTAGAAAATAATAATTGAATTGATAATGATTTTATCACTCGGTCATCTTTAATTATTATGAAACATGAATCATGTTAAAACATAAAATCATGTTTTATAATATTATTCTCAAAAGTTATTGAATTTTGGAAATCTTAATTCCTATAGAAAAATAATAGGTAATGATTAAATATTTATTTAAAAAAGAAGTTATTGATGTTTTTGAATAATTTTACAATTAAAGAAATTCGTAAATAAATGTAAAACATTTTTTTGAAAATTTAGTAATTTTTGGAGTGAATTAGAATATTCTTCAGGGTCAGGGAATAAAGTCAAAATTTTTTTTGGAAATCAGAGAAAAACAAAATTAAATTTTTTGTGACAACCCTGTCAGGGAAATTTCTATAAATTTATACAAACATTAAAATTTTTTGTGAATTAAAACTTTTTTTAATCTAAGAAAATTTAAAAGATTTTTATTACCGTTTGTTTCTATCATTAGACATTTATTTATTGTCAAATATGTCAGTTTCTACATTATAATAAAATTTATTTACTGAATTTGTTTTATTTTCATTTTATTGATTTTATTATTTAAAAATACAAATTTGAAGAACTTTCAAAATTATTCGATTGAGTTACAAATTTTATAGAAACATTTAATTTAGTTTATTTTATAATATTATTAATAAAGCAATAGTCTACGTTTTTAAAAACGAAATGATGATTGACAATTTATTTTATTTTTACTTCAAATTCATGTTATTTTCGAACAATTGTCTTTGAAGAAACAATTTCTGAAAAAATTGAAGCACATGAAAATTGGCGATGAATCTTGAAAAAGAATTCTTTTTCGTTATTAAAAACGTTGCAGACTTGAGCTTCATAATATTTATCTTATTTATGATGTATTAATTTGGTTCTTGTTATTTCAGCTTCATGAAGTCTGCGCCTTTACATCGAACCAGTTCACATATTGACTGATATCAGATTCAGATATTTATGAATTTTCAAAAGGAAGTTGTACATAACAGGTATAATTTTATGTTTTCGCAAGAAAAAACAAGACTCAAAAACTTGAATCATTATTACTGTAATCGTTACCAATATAAGAAACTTATTCATTGTGTTCTTTAAAAATGAATTCAACAAATGTTAACACTCACTTCAAACCGAAATGTAAAGGTTCAAAATATTCTGGTTCATCCGAAGAGTATTACAAAAAAGGACTAGAAATTTTGAATCCCGCTATGAAAAAATTTTTCGATTCACTCAAAGTCTCGCCGAAAGTATTATTTATTCAGTTACATAAATTCGATAAATATGCAGTAAATGGATGTTTATATAAACGGAGAAATAAGTCGACAATTCAATTTTTGACTCCTAGTGAAGTAAAACAAATAGCGAAGAAGGATGTTGAAATTATGTACAGTATTGTGAAGAGAAAAATACTTTCCTTGGGGAAATTAAATTTCCGCGGTATCAGCGACACTGGGTCAACATTCAATGAACGATCGACATTCAATGTTGACGATGAAATCTTCGACAAAATGTCTTTTAAGAAGAAAAGCATTCAAGAGAACTACACAACTTGTGCACATTGTGACAGGAAGTTTTCGACATTGAGTGGTTTGAAGCATCACATGAAGACGGGGCATTCGTTAGGGGAACTTGATGAGACTGGAGAATTCGACAAGAATTGTAATAGAAATCCACTTTCAGAATTATCAATGCTTGCGAGGAAATCGTCGAGTGAATTTTCCTGTGATGTATTGTGTTGCGCGTGCCTGAAAATAATTGTCGAAGTTCGACCGTTTTTAGATTCTCTTGTAAACGATGTTTGTCTTTCGTGTTTATATTGTGAAATGCGAATATCCGCCATTTATTTTTTATATCACGTTGCCACTAATCACCTCTCTTGTAAACAAGACGAATGCGATTCTAAATTTATAAATACCGGTTACAGATTGCGACAAGTTTTGACTATGGAAAATGAGTTCGAATGCATACACGTGGATTGCGATCATTATTACTTCATTGATTTAAATGAACCGAATATTAGTGTCACTGTTGACGACGTGGACTTGAGTCAAATAATAAATTGTCAGGACAATAGCGAAAGTGCGATTGATTTTCAAATTACGAATAAAGAAGAAAAAGAAGAGGAACGTGAAGCCGAAGAAGAAAATAAAGAGGAGCAAGAAAATGAAAAAGAACAAGAAAATGAAAAGGGACAAGAAAATAACTGTAATGGTCTTGAAATGCTTGCAACTAACATTGAGGTTGATGGAAATGAAAAAATGAACGAGTCTAAATGTCAAACTTTTAGTTCTGTGTTAATGGATTCTTCTGCAAAATCTGAAGATTCGCAACAAATTTCACTCGTGAAGTTTCCTTTCCGTTGTAGCATTTGTAGGATAAATTTTCCACAGGAACAAAAATTGCTCCAACATCTCTTCATTAATCATCGTTACACTTTCCCTTACACTTGTGACATTTGTTTCGCGTGCTTCAAAGAAATTAGAGAATTGGACATTCATCGCTATCTCCACATAACGAAAAACGAATCGACAATAACTGAAAATTCCACTGTAGAAGCGATTTATCGAGAGGAAAACTCGACAACTGAGGAGGAGGAATTTATGGAAATTAGTGCGATATCGATATCGACTAATCAAGAAGAGAAAACCGAAAACTGCGATCAAAATCAATTCTCAAATAAACAAGAACCAAATCAAGTGGAGGAAAATTCTTCGAAGCATTCTAAAGTAAAAATTTCCTGTATAGTCGAAAAAGTGGAATACCCTCTGGACATTCACAATTTGTATGCACACATTCGTAAAGCTAATGATCCGACAGAAATTAATAGTTCCGAATTGAGACTCGAGACAAGTTTCACTAGTGATGCTAGTCCACGAAAACGTAAAATCTCCGACACGTGTGAAATAAGAGAAAGCGAATCAACTGTGGAATCTTCGACAAATTTTGAATGTACAATTTGTGGCAAAACATTCAGTTCACAGAGAATTTACAGCGAGCATATGTTCTTTGTTCACGATGCTGAATTGCAAGATTCTGTCGTTCTCGACATTCTGAAATCATCTCCAGAACAAGCACCGATCATTAGATCCAATTCGAAAAAACCAAAAATAGAAATAATCCCTAGTCTTAATAACGATAATTTAAAAGCGAAATCTACAAAACTTGGATCAGTTTCGGATGATTTGGGAAAAAGATCGATTTTAAAAAAAACGATTACAGGTCCCGTAAAAACGCAAAACTTGAAACAATCAAAAACTCCAATTCAGACTTCGAAGGTTTTTAATGTAAAAACGACGAAAGTGGTATCGAAAAAGAAGGAAATGACTATTTTAGGAAAAGAACTAAAAACCTCGAATCAAATTTCGGTCGAGAATGTAATAACAAAAAAAATCGATGCTCTAATGCTGTTCGCTTGTTCGGATTGTAAAAAAGTATTTTCTAGAAACACAATGTTGGAGAAGCACAGACGTTTGAGTCATCCAAGTAAAGAGGGAGGACAGAAAGGAAAAAGAGTCTGGGAATCAATTGTTAATGCTCCAATAACTGACAAAACACATCTGACTTGTCCGATTTGTAAATTTATTTTCCGTACAACGCAAAGTTTACAGGCCCACCTAATGGCAAATCATAGTCGCGTCACCGACATTTGCCCCCTTTGCAAGAAACTATTCCCCTTTGGACGTGGAGTGCGACATATTCTTAATTTTCACATTGTTCCAGGTTGCGAACTAGAAAGGAACTTCGAACTCTTCGAAGATGGCGACACAAAAGATGATGTGAACGAAGCAATAAAAGTACTAAAAGAAAGAAGATTAATCGCCCTCTACGGCTATAGTAACTATCAAGTATTGCACGATTTCACATCATTCAAATGTAAATACTGTTCTCAGTTCTTCACAACAATTGGCGACTATCGAAATCATTATCTTCAGGAACATGACAAATTTTGTACCCTCTGCGATATGCTCTTCAGTGACAATAAAAATTTCCTACGACATTTGACCAAAAAACATTATTCCGCCAAGCATTATTTATGGTTCACCGACACGTTCATCGCGGCAACTCTCCTAACTGAGAAAACAAAGAAAAATTTATCCGAGAGCTTTGAGGATATCATCGGGAGAAAATTGCATCAACTGAAAGGAACCGAATCAATTGAAATTGAGGAAAAAGGCCCGAATGCAAACGAAAACCAAATAAATGAAATACCGAATAATTTACCTCAACAACCAGAGTCAATAGTCACTTTAATTTTACCAGAAAACCAAATAACTGAAACAAACGGACTGCCAGAGACAAATGTCTTACAACTGCCGGAATTTTGTATGGAATGTGAAGTCAGTGAGAATGGAACTCTTGTCATGCCGAGTGACAATGGTTCTCGTAGTGCGATAATTGTGGAAAACTTGAGTGATATAAGTAATGTAAACGAGAAAAGTGACTCAGTAAATAATTCCGTTTTTCACCCTATCTCAAATTGTATTCTAGATTATCCAATTATTTTTAGTAATATCAATAATTTACACAATGACAAAGTCTTGACTGATGTAGACACTGATATTGATAAGGAATTTCAAATTCAATGAAAAAGAAAAATAATTAGACATTATCAGAGTGTATTCCGAAATTGTCGGATCAAAATATTCAGTTAACAATTTTGAAGTTTTTTAATTTTTGCCTCTTGTTAAAAAATCGAATTTGCATAAAAAAATTGTTCAGAAAATATTTTGACTCTTCGAATTTTTATTTTTTCTAAAAATCGATAGACTTTGAAATTCATACGTAATTTTATTAAATACAAAATTACGAAAATAAAAAAAAGTATGTTACATACAAAAATATGTTTTTGTAACATTTTTTCAAAAAAAAAAAATAGTTTTCAGGTTAAAAATTTTAAAAAATATGATTATTATTAAATTTTATTATACGAAAACTCATTTGTTTTTTTTTCTAACTAATTTCAGAACATAAACTTTTTTTCAAAAAAAATGTTTTATCGAATAAATTTTTAACAATTTTTAATAATTTTTTTTTAATAAACTTTTTTTCAAAAAATTATTAAAAATTTATTCGGATAAAACATCTTTTTTGAAAAAGTTTGTTCTCAAATTAGTTAGAAAAAAAAACAAATGAGTTTTCGTATAATAAAATTTTGATAATAATCATATTGTTTTAAATTCTTAATCTGAAAACTATTTTTTTTTTTTTTTTTTTGAAAAATGCTCAAGTTTTTGTTAACATTAATTTTTTCACTCAAAATTTTTTTTATGGATACAAAAACATATTTTCTACAAAATTAAGTATGAATTTCAAAATCTATCAATTTTTGGAAAAAATAAAAATTTAGAAAGGGTCAAAATACTTTCTGATTATTGAATTCCTCTTAAAAAATTAAAATAAAAATAATTTTATTAAATATTTAAAATATTTTCTTCATAGAGTTGAAAATATAGGTTTACCCTCCCCTTAATAGTTGAAAACTTTTATTTTTAAATTTTCTTTGAAACTTAAGAACTTAATTATTAAAAATTGATTATCCCTCTAAATGATACAAATTGAGTTCAAATGAGTTCAAATTTTAACTGTTATATGGGATGATGTTAATCATTTCAAAATCTCTTTTTCTAAATTTTTAAGAAAATTTAAATAAAATAAATTTTTTCAGGATATTAAAAATGTTATTTTTAGAAAAAATTTCGAAATTACATTATTTTTTAAAATTATATAAAATTTTGAAATTTAATATTCTAATTTAATTCCAAGTAAAAAATTCCAAGTTAAGTACATTTTTCAAAAACAAAAATCTTTTCGAAAAAATTAATTTTTAATTTTTAAATTTAATTTCAACGAAATAGAAAAGCAATTTTAACTGAAAATTATGGCACAAGTAATAAAAATATATTGCCTAAAATTTTTCATTTAAAAAAGATAATTTTGCAAAAGTACATAATTAAAAACTGAATATCAGGAATTTTAAAAAATTGTTATGGATTGAAATAATATTTTTTTCACATTTATTTACAATAATGCATTTTATCGTTTTTGAAGATTTTTTTTATTATATAAAATTGTCTCAAAGTTTTAATAAAAAGAAATTACATTTTGTAAAAGTAAATCGTACACTCTGCAAATGTCTAATTCCATTTTATAAGTTAAAGAATAGCCAAGGATTTAAAAAACAATTTTGTTAATTTAATAGATACGTAACTTTTTGGAATATATACTTAAATGAAGTTCAAATTAAAATATAATTACTGTATATTGATTTAATATAAATTTTATATCGCTTTATCAATTATTTTTAAAAATTATCTTTCTATACATATATTTATTAAATAAATTTTTTAAATGTTACTCAAATTTTTAAAGAATATTATCGTCGTTATAGCTTTTTGTTAAAATTCAAATTTCATTAAGTAAAAATTATGAAAAAAATTATTTACCATTTAGCTTAAATATCGTAAAAATCTGTGACTGTCACGATATTAAATTATTTTTATTAAGGAATAGAAGGAATGACAAGGAAGCTGAACTATCGAACAAAATTTAGTAACTTTGTTAAAAGAAACGACGTTAAAATTGCTGCGTACAATATTTTATGTTCATTGAAATTTATATGAAACGCAGAATTATTTTCTAATATAGTGCTTCCTAGTCGTCGATATATGGAATGATGGAAAAAAAATGTTTCATCATCAAAACTGATAAAAATCTTTAATGTATTTAATTCTTGTAATTTTTTATTCATTTAAATTTTAAAAATTCCTCTAATAATTTATTTATAGTTATAAACTATAAATAAATTTCTTTTTCAACAAAATGATCAGAAACATTTTTTTTCCTTGTTGATAATTATCAAGCGTTTAATGCATTCCATTTATAATAAAAAGAAAGAAGTTACTTATTTTTTATAAAAAATTTTCATTAATAATTTAAGTTTATGGAGTTCATAATCATGTGCTTCTTAAAAACAATAAACGCAACGTTTCAATGCAAATAAAAATATATATGTGACGAAGTACATGGTACAAACATTTTTGGAAATATTTTCTCGATTTTGTATGTATATAAATATATATATGTAATTACGTTTTAATAATAGTATTAATAATAAGCTATAGTTTTATGTATCTATTATATATTCAGAGAAATTAAAAAATAATTTTTTGTAATGATGTTATTTATTTTATTTATCTACAATCCATTATTATTTTTTTAAATTGCTTAGAATTATTATTGATCCTCAATTAAATCTGTAGATTATGTACTGTTCCTTGGAGGGCTAACTAGCCCTAGAGGAACTTTTAAAATTTAAATAAATAAATAATTAATTTTATGAATATTTTTAATATTCATATTTAGTTTTACGGTAAAAAAAATTAATAAATAATAATTATTACAGTAAAAGGTTTTAACAAAAAAATGAATAATATTATCCATAAAATTTTTCAAAGAATTTAAATTATTTAAAAAAATTTTAATAAAATTCTTCCTGAAAATTTTATTATCTTCATAAAAAGTAAAAGTTTTTTGAAAATTTCAATTATTTTCTAAAATTTTAATAAAATTTTTTTTGAAGATTTCAATTATTTTTTTTTGAAGATAATAAAATTCTTTGGAAGATTTTAATTATTTTCATTAATAATATAAAATTCATCGGAGGATTTTAATTATTTTCAAAAATTTGAAACAAATTCTTATCAAGAATTCAATTTGTTTTCATAAATATTTGAATTCTTTACAGAATTTCAATTATTTTAAAAAATTTGAATCAAATTCTTGTCAAGAAATCCTTTTGAATATAATTCATCGCAAAAATTAAATTTTTTTTTAAATTTTTATAAATAATAAAATTCTTCGGAGGATTACAATTATTTTTAAAACAATTTTAATAAACTTCAAAAATAAAATATTTCATTATATATACAGACACGATTATTTAAAAAAGTTAAAAAATTCTTTGTTTAATTCAACTATTTTCAAAAATATTCAATTAAAATTATTCAAAAAACCACATTATTTAGAAAAAGCACAAAAAAATTCATCAAAAAGATTTAATTATTTACAAAAACTCTAATAAAAGTGTTTAATACCTAGAGTTAAATTTTCTATAAGTAATTTTAATAAAATTTTAATAGTAAAATTATTAATTACAATTATTAAGAAAATCGATTATATTTAATAAATTAAATAAATTTTTTGAATGAATTTAATTATTGTCAAAATAACCTTTAACAGTATCTATTTTTCGAAAGAATTTAATTATTTTCTATTTTTTAATAAAATTCCTTGAATGAATTAAATTATTTTAGAAAATTATAATAAAATTCTGAGAAGAATTTAATTATTTTCTAAGCATTTTAATAAAATTCAATAATTAAATGTTTAATTTCAATTATTAAGAAACACGATTATTTTAAAAACTTAAAAGAAATTGTTCATAAAATTCAATTACTTCAAAACAATTTTAATCGAATTCCTCGGATAAATTCAAATATTTTTAAATATTTCCATAAATTTCAATTATTTCCTAAAATTTTAATAAATTGTTCTAAACAATTCAACTATTTTTATAAATACTAAAATTCTTTGCAGGAATTAAATAATTTTTAATCCAATTTAAATAAAATTACCACGAAAGAATTTAATTATTCTCAAAAATTTACATTAAATTCAATTTCAACAAGAATTTAAAATTCTCTAAAAATAATTCAATTATTCTCTAAATATTTTTAAAAAATTCAATTATTTTCAAAACATAATAAAATTTTTGTGATGAATTCAATTATTTTGAATATACTTAATTTTAATAAAATTCTTTAAAGAAATTCAATTATTTTCGAAACAACTTTAATTTAATTTCTCGAAAAAATATCATTATTTTAAAATATTTCTATAGAAAATTCTCCATACCAATTTAATAATTTCTTAAAATTTTAATAAATTCTTCGAAACATTTCAATTATTTTTATAAATAGTAAAATCCTTTGCAGAAATTCAATTCTTTTCAAAATAATTTTGATAGAATTCCAATAAAGAATTTAAATTTTTAAATATTAACATTTATGTTAATATTTGAAAATTTTAAATTTAAAATAAATGAACTTTAGTTCATTTATTTTCTAAAATTTTAATTTATTCTTCGGAACAATTCAATTATTTTCAATACAATTTTAATAAAATTCTTCTTCATAAAATTCAATTGCTTTCAAAATTTTCAATTAAAATTATTAAAGAAACTCCATTAGTTAAAAAAAAAATCAAAGAAATTTTTCAAAAGAATTTAATTGGGATTTTTAAAAATTTTAATAAAATCCTTCGCGAGAATTCAGTTATTTTCCTAAATAATAAAATTTTTTGAAGATATTTTATTATTATCAAATTTTTTGATAAAATTCTTTGCAACAATTCGACGATTTTACATTAATTTTAAAATTCAAAATTACATTTATTACTTTTTATTTATTTTCTTGTTTATTATTATTGCTTTTAATAAATTTGTACTTATGAGAAAAAATTTTATAGAAAGAAGAAGAGGGAAGAGAAAAGAAAGATTAATATACCGAATGATTGCAAAACTTTATTGTTTTATTATAATGGCATAATAATGTTTCTATGTTTTGTCAAAAAGTCAAGGCAAGAGGAAGATAAATTAATATACAATGTTGATTGAATGTCAAAAAATAACATACATTAATGATTCCTAAAATAAGCCCATATAATTTGTATTTTACAGAACGGTGAATATTTTATAAACATATTTTTATAAACGTTATTTTCTGTCAGTTCCGTTTGTACGACGTGTTCAAGTACGATTCAGCGATTTACTATTTTTTTTATCCATAAACGTTATTATTTATT